GCGTGGAAGAGTGGCCCGTTCGCTTATATGGCCCGCTCGCTTATAATGCACGTTAATCAAAATTTACCAAGATTTGATCGAATGTTAGTGGATTGGACTTGAGCAATCTGTTTGAGTATGCCGCTTTTTTTTTGGCCACAGTGAGCCAGGGAGTCAAACCGGAAAAGGGAAGAAAATGGTGATGGCACGAGCGACGTATCGGAAATACCGCCTCCACTCAGCACGTCTGTCACGAAAGCTAAACAGAAGCACTGTACGAGGTACAATTACTGACCTAATTAACCACCAACGACACGCAAATGATAAATTTATTAGATCAAAGTTGGTTACTCAAGGATGGGACAACGAAACGCACACCGTACACGACGTTGCAGGTCGAACTCAGCTACAAACGCATCGTGTCATATCCAAGCCCATCACTAGACGGAACCTGGAGCGAGCACCTAGTTGATTACATTACTTGAGTTAGCAAACGACGGCCGACGTCGTCGTGGCCGTTCAGACGGGCCTCCCCGGTCGATGACTCGATCCAAGAGTGAATTGCATCCGTGCATCCCAGCCAGTAAGTGAACCGATAATTATGTACATACACTACTTATTCCCGTGAAAGTAACGCCCCCGAGAGCGGGTCCAATCCCAAAAGTCGACTTGCTGAGAACACTGGCCTTCACGGCCAGTCGGCCACCAACGGTTGATTGGAGGAGATCCCAAGAAATACTTCGTCGTGCAAATGATTAGGTACCCGGCCGAGATGTGAGCGCGCTTGTGATATTCGGCCGTCGCGCGCCTAGCAAACTCACACCGACCTTGTTTTGAACAGGGGAAGAACTGCCATGCGAATCCACTCGAATCCAACCTTGCAAGGACCAGGGATATCAAGATATCTCCGCAGGTGAGTCAGCAACGTTAGGCTGACACCTTTTCCCGAGGACCTGGAGGGCCGTGGGCTTCGAAGAACATCGTCAAAGAATTTCCCAACTATCTCCCAATCCGGTAATGTCGTGGTTCTCGTATGATTCACGGGCGGCCCCTCGAAAGGCACACTCACAGGCATTGAAGACTGGTACCGGGCGGTGGTGGGAATCAAAGCTTCCCAAAGGGTTGATCGCTGACCGTATCACGCTAGCAGAATGATTCGGCCCTAGGGGAATCACGGAAATAATCCTACCGATACCACGCTGTCTTCTGCTTATGTGAGGTTGACTACACACAGCCCGACAACTTCTTCTTGGGAAGTAAGGGCTTACGGCACACGCGAACAGGAACTTTGCTGTTGAACTTGTACCCTAGCGGCCGGGCCTAGCCACGTCTCGGATGAGCACCGGAGCTAAGCACCGTAGCTGGAAGTTCCGGGATGAGAAGCATGATACTACAAAGTGTATAAATACAGCGGCGAGATCGCCTTGGACTCAGTACTCCCCTGGCTCCACACACTTCACAACCTTCTCCCAACTGACGTTCATCTCTACGAAACAAGCTCTCCCACGTGAAACCATCATGGCTGCTCCGACTCCGTATACCGCCCCCGCCTGGGCTGAGGGGATGCAAAAGTACCGGGCCCCTTCGCTCTTCCAACCGCACCGCGTTCGTGATGTGATCCGGGACGCCCACGAGAAGAAGATCCCAGCTCTCATCGGATACTATTCCGGCCTCAGCTCCATCCCCTTGGTGCGCTTCATCGCCCCCATGGGATTCGACATGATCTGGCTCGACTGGGAGCACACCCCCTGTGACGTCGAGACTATGACCACCGTATGTACCTGAAATACAAAAGGCTTTTACCTCGGGACATGGCTAACCATGAAATGTAGATGGTCCACGAGATTGCGTTTATGAGCGAAGGACGCACGATCCCCTTTGTACGGTAAGTAAAGGAGTTGAGAGCTTAATTACACAAACATCCGCTTACAACATATCAGGATTCCCGGTCATGATCACGCCGCCATCGGCTATGTGCTCGACGCCGGCGCCAGCCTCGTCATTCCCCAAATAGAAACTGTCGAGCAGGCCAAGCACGTCGTCTCGGCGGCCAAGTTCGGCTCCCGGCAAAACGGGACACGGTCGGTCCCGCCGTTCCGTCTGATCGCCGGCGTCTCGGACGCACCTTTAGATGGCAAGCGCGACGTGTGGCAAAACGTCAACGACCAGGCCGCCATCATGATTCAGATCGAGTCGCTCGAGGGCATCAACAACCTGGACGATATCTTGACCGAGGTCCCGGACATTGACGTCGTCTGGCTCGGCTCGCTGGACTGCCGCATCAGCATGAATCTAGCCCCCCAGTGGGGTCAGGGTAACGAACCGGAGTGGCTGGCTGCTGTGGACAAGTTCACCGCCACTCTTAAGAAACACAACAAGCCCCGCGCTGGGTTCTGCCTCGAAGCCGGCGAGAAGCTGGCCAAGGCCGCGGAGGATAATGTCATTCTGCTGCATGCCGGCGATCTGCTCAAGGTCTCGGAGCTGCCGCATCAGCTCGCAGCCGCAAAAGACGCCGTGGTGTTGAAGAACTAGGTGGTCTTCTACTGACAAAGGTTGAAATGTGCACAACTTAAGATTACCCAAAATAGATTCTTATGTAATGGTGCATCTTTGCCTTTATGCCCTTTCTGCGTCCAAGAGCTGTATCGAGTGTATGTCATCCAAAAGAATCTGAAGGTCCTTGTTGCTGATTTTTTCCGTCAGTGAGGGGATGAGCCGCTTTGCTTCCTCAGCATTGGTACACATTAACGTGGCTACGGCAGTCAGCAATGTGTGACTGATGTTGGAGTCGATGGTCTTACACAATTGTGCTTTCTCAAAGCTTGCAAGCTCCTGGTGGGCGCCAACGAGCCGCTCAACATCCTCAATGCTTTCTGCGTGTCGGAAGTATGCAAAGGCATCGAACTGTTTGAGTGTGTCTTGGACGGCCCTGGGTGAAATCCCGTACGTTAGTATTTTGCAACATCACATCCGTCGGAAGCACAAGTGTGCCGACGTACTCGCTCCAGACTCGGTTAACTCCTCGTCTCGTTCGTCTGTTTAGGATGGCTTTGACGAGAAAGGCCGCCTCCGACATGCGCAAGCATGGTACATTTTGGAATTCGCCGAGCTTGAGTTCCTCTCGGCTGTCTCTAGCTCGCGCGGTTTTGCTTTGGGTCTGGACACGGGCGCGTGCCGGCGGACGTCTTCGTGGGACATGATAGTTATGACCAGTTGGAAGTATGTGCGATGGATAGGTCGACGGTGGCCGGATATCCCAAGTTTTGAGGAGTCCAATTCCCAAAATGCGTTGAACCCAATGGATATATTATCTCTACTATTTCTTCGTTCCTTACATTCTGCAGTTCGTTCACGATGCCGTGTTGTTAACAAAGAATAGTGTGCTCCCTTCGTTGCATTCCGTTTCTCAAGCCGGTGTTTGTCGTCAGCGGGGCATCCCTTGGGACGGTAATCAACTCGTTTGCATGCCTGCGGTGGTCCCCCCATGTTTAGCAAATTTGGGACAGCTCCCACAATTCCAGTAACGTAATGGTGACCACTATTTGCCGGGTGATGCTCATTGCCTCTGTATTGAGAGCAATTATGGTGACTATATAAAGAAGTAAAGAGAGCCAAGGGAGCAACAGGCAAAGATTGGAACAGGATGCCTTTATCCAAGGTTGTGTAAAAGCTAAATTTTAATACCATCTCATCACTAAATCTGGGAGAGACATCCCATAATTCGTCAAATCAAGAAACTCACAAAACTCCCTCTATTTTTCGTCACAAACGCACGCTGGCTGCATTATCTCATAAACGCTCCCAATAGATTAAGTCTTACAACTTGGCACTTCATCCCTCGTTCGCTGTGCCCCGGTGTCAAATCCAAACAATTAATTACACCACCAACGACATAAGACTTGCGACCAACACAGGCGACCAGAGAAGCGCGGTCTGGACTGCCTGGCGATAACCCGCCGACACCAAAACGGGCGTACCAATCTTGGAAGTCTCATCAATACTGCACACATTCTCGCAGGTGCTCTGTTTCTCCTGCTTACTGTGCTGTCCATGCGAGTCAGTGTTGTTGTACACCATCTCAATCCACCGAATCTGGAGATACGCCGTCGAGCCCTTGGGCATGCGGCCCGACCAGCTGCCGCCGTCACTCCACGCGTTGAAGATCACCTGCGACGGATCACGCGGTGCCTGGAAGGTGATGTGGCTGGCCAGTTCGCCGTCGACAAACCACGTGCTGCTCCCGGGTGTCCAGTCCATGCGGTACTCGGCCCAGTCGGACCAGCGGCGGCCGGGCCCGGGGAAGGTCACGTTGTGCGAGGCGCCGGGGATGTCGCTGGTGCTGTTCCAGGCTGGCTGGTTAGTGAAGGAGACGTAGTGGGGTGGATCGCGCGTTAGAAATTCGAGATCGGCTTCTTGCACGAGATCCGTGTCTTCTGGGTTTGGTGGGGCGCGGTATGTGAACATGGCGGTCACGGCTCCAGGGGGCCCCTGGGTGCGCGCTTCCATGCGCATCGAGAGGAAGTGGTACTTTTCGCTAACCGACTCGAATTCAGCTGCGGACTGGAAATCATGGTGCCGGATCGTGCGGAGCGTGAGGTGCGTATTGTCAGGTTGCTGCTCGTCCCGCTCGATGTAGATGTTATTGGGCGAGTTGACCATCTGGAGCGTGGCGTCGGTGATGGTGCTGTTGTCCAGGTCTATCAACTCCGAGTTGCTCCAGTTCTGTATCGACCAGACATCGGCGAACTGGGAGTTGGTGAAGTAGTCGCTCGTGGGCGGTGCGCCAGCGCTATCATCCCAGTTGTCGATGGGGTTTGGAACGTTGATGTGGTCCTGAAGTGACCGGAAGTCAAAGAAGCGGTGGTGTGAAAAGTAGTTCGACTGGGTCGCGTTGGTCTGGTAGCAATGGCAGTTGGAGTCCGTCGTTAAGGCAAACTCGCCTCGGGCCACGGCGACCATGGAGGCCGACGTGAGGGCGAACGTTAAAGAGCGAGCGAGATCCATCATCGTGGCGCAAACGATTGGGGACGACTCCCCGGTGTGGTGTGGACAATGAGATGCCTCGCAATCAAGTTTTGGAGGTGCAGTCCTTCTCCGCCCCTATAATATGCGTCGTTCTACGGTAGCCTCTCCCGTGCAAGAATTTCGCTTCTTCCCGCCACGGTATTGTGAGATATTAACCCGGGATGCCGTAGGCGTTGAAACGGCAGGCGTAGCGGTTAAGTATAGAGGGCGCACAATCTATTTCCGTGAGGATGAGGCAGGCAACGTTGCAGTGCGAGAGCGTGGGAGATTACATGCGGCAATTCGAGCGGCTGCAGATGTGGGAGAGAAAAAACGACGAAACTTCAAATGCCAATTCTTCGCGGTTCACTTGAGATGCACGAGATTTGCAGCTCATGGGAGTTAAAAGAAAGGCCTACGGATAGGCATCCCGCCAACGGGGACGAGAATCGTCAAAGAAAAAAAGAAACGGCGTGCCGTGTTGGGCGCGCCAGCGACGTCGTCGGCACTGCACAACGGGCTCAGCCCAGCAGCGTAGGCGCCACGCACTGGGCGAAACGGGAACAGCTGAGATTGGTTTGTTCGGAATTACCCGAGCTAGGATCTGTCGTTTGTGTTGGCAATATGTACTATATTTATTTAGCCGCAGCGTGCCTGTCCGAGTTCACGAATGTAATATTTTAGTGGACGAGCTAAGAACCCGCCCATATGAAAAGAGGCCGCCTGCTCCTCCCGCCGTTTCGATCTTCATTTCCCAATTCCATTCTCGAGAGGCACCGGGCATTTGCATTGAGCACGTTTGAGGGCTCGAGCTGTCTGCTGCAGCGTGCCCCACAGAGTCACCGGCAGTTACAGGCCGGCCCGGACTGGCTCGCCCAATCGATCTCCGGTCACACCAGCCAGGGGATTGCTCGAATTGGTAGGTAAAGGCTACCGCAGTGTTTGCACCCCTGTCATGCGCCGTTCTCGACCCTCCAACCCGCCTTATTCGGAAGTCGAGAAAACACGACGGCATCCCAGCCGTCATTCAGCTTTGGCTGCGGCCCGGGGCGGCCACGTTTCGGTTTTGCAGTTTTGCTTCTTGTAAGACGCCCGGAACACGCGGTGTTGGCGACTCCCGTCCATGGGCTGAACCCCCTGCGTCTTGCATCGTGCATTCTGGGGCGTGCGTGCGGTCGTGCGGTCGTGCGGTTGTGATGCATGGTGGGTAAAGTGAAGTTTTTCCATAATCTAAAAACTTCCGAGCGGAAACCTCAGAACAGGTATTCGTCCCACCGATCTTCGTGGTACGCGTAGAAAAGGTCGTCGATGTTTTGCCCGTGGTCCGGCCCGAGCTGCTCTAGAAAGTCGTTGAACGTCGCTGGCCGCCGGGCTTGTCGTTCCGGGTCTGGGTCTTCGTCCCCCGAGAAATAGTATTCCGACGCCTCGTCCTCCTCTTCCAGCTCTAATTCTTCCTCGTCTGGTAATATGTGGTGCTCATGAAGGTACTCCTGTTCCTCGGCGGCCTCCTCGTACTCGTCTTCGTCTTCATCTTCATACTCCCCTTCATCCTCAGCGCCTGGCGGCTCATCCTCGTCTTGATACGACGGAAGCAGGTCAAAAGTCCGGAACAGGATGCCCGCTTTGGCGCAACGTTGTCGGGCCGTTTCGACTTCCCGCCTGAACCGCCTGTGAAACCGGCTCTCGGCCGGCCACGAGTGAATCGCCAGCGAGATGCTGGATAGTCGGTGTGCTTTACTCGCACACAAGCATTCCACGCCGTGCAGTACCATATCGAGATTGGCAAGGTATGACTGCTTCCAGTCTCGGGCCGTGCCCCACTCGCACACGAGGGTGAAGTCGCGGACCGACGGCGGGAGCAGCTGGCAGAGCCGTTCGCCATCGTCCCAGTCGAGCACGCCGAGCGTGCCAAACACGCCGCGGTAGTCGAGCATCAACGTCTCGAGACGCGCGAGCTCCGGGATGCACCGCAGCCGGTGATTTTCGGGTTTCCGTGGGCGTTCCATGCCCCGCGTGAGATAGTGTCCTTCTGAGAGCGAGACCAGCTCGAGAGTCTCCAGCGAGCCGGCGAGACCGAGAAGTGCATCGTTAAGGGTTTTGCCTTCTGGCAGCAGGTCCCGGTCGTCATCGGTGGAGCTCGCCTCAAAATGCACAACCAATGTTTTCAGGTTGACACATGCGAGGCAGAGCGCTACCAACCTGGGTTCGTGTATTTGAGTTCCGTAGAGTCGTAGGTGCTCAATATGTGGGAGTGAGGGCAGCGCAAGATCGCCCTCTGCGACAGTATCGGCTGAGGCGCAACACAGCTCGAGCGTCTTGACATGGGTGAGTTGGGGTAGGGTTTCGATAATGTAGTCGGCAATAAGACGGGATGGGGTCAACTGGCGGTCGCCATCTTCCCGCTGACAATAGATGCGCAGCGATGTGAGATTACGCATCTGGCCGATCGGGAACAGATCAAAGAACCGCTCGGCGATGGGGGGGTCGTGCTCAGCCCGGTACTGAATCACAGCGTCGCGTATCGCTGGTTCGAGTTGGTCCGTGGCCTCCACACCGAACGGGGCGTCCGGGCAGGCTATGAGAAAGTCTTGCAGGTTGGGCGCATTCAGGATGAGTCCCTTGAGAAGGTCCAGCACAATGGTACACGGCTCTTTCCCGGGGTATCGACATGTCCACCTGACTGGGGTCCAGTTAACGAACGTAGCCCTTTGCCACTCGGTGGACGACGCCCCCTTACCTCCGGTCTGCCTTTCCCACTCATGGCTGACCTCCTCGATGGTGGAGGAACCGCCAATGTTGACGAGACAGGTGATACTGCGAACCCATGCCCTCACATCTGGATTCAGCTCAACCCGACGCAGCAGGGCGACGAGGGCGCGCGGCGTAGGGATGATGAGGGTGTGGTAGAGTAACGGCTTGGCGATGGCGGCCATGCGCCGCGACGTCTGGGCGAAGGACAAGAGGTTGTGTTGGCAGACACGCCAGTCCGCCCACTGGTGGTCGGCATCGCGGAACTCCCAGGTACCAGACCCGCGCAGAGCGAAGCGGGTGGTCAGGGGCGCAGTAGGAACCAGGGCTTCGGCAATGGGCCGTAGCAGTTCGGCCGGGAGCCGTTCGAGAGACCGGAGGAACCGTCTCGGGTCGTTGAAGGGATGCGGAGGGTACGCGAAGTTGGGCGCAGGCGTGGGCGTGGGCGCGGGGGCCCTCGGGCAGCCGACCGAACTCGACGATGCCATCATCAGGGGCAACACTGGGTGGACGGCAAGCTCAACTCAGCCCAACGTAGGTAGCGCAGCTCGGCTGGACTCGGGTCACCTTGCAAGGTGGGCTGGGCGGAGGACGGAATAGGCGCGCAGGCCGCACACACCGCGCGCCGTGCGGCCGATGAGCCGATGATATGCAGAATGGAATCGCCGGTGCTCGACAAGGGGTGTTGAATGTGGGTGGCCGGGCCAGGCAAACATCTGGGCCGAAGGAGCCGCATCCAGGTGTGTTTGTGGTAATGGTGGTGTGCTGTGGTGGTGGTAGTGGTGGCGCTCGGCCGCGCACTGCAGAGCGAAGACAACGTCGTCGTGATGAATCCGTGACGCTGGCTGCCGCGATGACGATAGCGCTGTTGGCGGAGAATTCTGTGGTAAGGCGTGGGCGCGCGCGCGGTGGGCCAATCGGGGCAATCTGGACAAGTTTAAGGGACTTGCCAAAGCGTGCTAAGGGTCACGGCAACTTCCGATCTCGGCGGCCCCCGTTCTTTTGGCGTGTCCGGATCGCCAGGCGTGCCCGAGCAACTCAAGGACAGAGGCCCGGCAGGTGGACAAAATCGTCGCTCTCATCGCCGTCGTTGGACGATTCGGGAAGCTGCTCGCCTCGGACGCGTGTTAGTGGACGGGCACGAGGTTGGGTCATCAAAGGGCGAATTACGTCGCTGGCCACGTTGCAGGGCCACCAGGAAGAGCAGCTGCGACGACAGGGGAATGTCAGACGCCCGGCCAGGGGGGCGTCTCACAGTGGGCACTGGACGCCCGATGGGTGCAACGCCAATTTTTTTGTCATTTTTATTTCTGGCATTCCGCGGGGCTCCCACAATCCCCAACCAACCGGGGAAGCACGAGGATTACCCTGTCTAAGAACATCCAAAGGGCGTGGGAAATGCCGACATCGCTACAGTACCGCGCGCCCGTGGGGTCATTTTTTTTTTCTTGTCCCTTTTAATTGCAACACCCTGCCGCTAAATTTTGCCGCGTAACGGCCTCGGACACGGCAACGGGAGCCCCGGGCCCGGGTCTCGGTGCAGTGACCGCCGGACCAGTCTCGATGGCCACAAAGGTGCGCACCGTACAGTGGGTCAGGCGCTGTGACCCAGCGAGCTCAGTGGCTCGATCACTGCAACCGAGCCGGGACGGACCCAGGCTTCCCAGAGCACACGGTCCAGATTCAGCAGGTGCTACAGCGTTCATTTGCGCCCGGCGGACAACGGGCGGGGACAAGAAAACTGCCTCTCGCACCCGGAACGACTGCCGTCCAATCACTGCGGACGGCCGAGTCGATCGGATGCCACTGACGGTACGGTCGACACCGAGTCGTCGGCCTCTCCACGGGGTTTCCAAGCGGAGCGTGCGAAGCTACGGACTGCCATTGGGGGTCCTGTGAAATTGAGGTGAGCGGGCGGGTGGAGGACAATCTGGAAGTCAAAGAAGATCGCGGTCTCGGAGCAGTGCTGCGTCAGCAGCGCCGGAGATGACGCGGGGGCTCTGAGACCCGGGCCTGCGGGCGCCGACTGCAGCGGGTGCCACTGGGGAAACAACCGGCGGGCTTTAACGCGATCCGGAAGGCCGACCTGTGTCAGAAGTTCAGAACCAAGACTTGGAAAAAAAAAAGCGGTCCACGGCAGGCCGGGAAGGTGAAGTGAGTCACCCGGAACGAGCAAATTGCAAGCGGCCGTTGTCACACGCCGATCCAGGTTTGGCTTGCGTGTGCTGCAACGAGTTTTCTTGGTGGTGCGTCGTGATGCACAACAGACGGTCTTTCGTCCTGCTGCGTGACATCGCGAGCAAAGGCGCCGGAGAAGAAACAGCATCCCTGGACAAGCTTCCCGGGGGAGGCTGAAATTCAAGCAGATTTCTTTGCAGTATCTCTTGGCTTTGGCCGGGACCAGCCGCGCAACCGGGAGACGACCGCAACCCCGGGCTGATCGCGGGCCAGGCCGATGATGGGCCATTGCCGAGCGCAAACAACCAGCTCCGTCGATCATGGTTTTGGTGTCGCGAGCCTCAAGATGCGAGCTGGACCAGCGGACTCTTTCCTTCTCGCCGGCGACATTCTTGTTCCCAACAATTCCCGGCAATTCAGCACGTCTGCGGCATCAAACACCATTCGGCTGGCTTGATCCGCATCCAGAACCAGCTGCCTAATCCAGCGACGCCCAGCCGGATCACTGACCTCTCGTTACCAACGAAGCATCGTATTTCTTCGGATTCCGTCCAGATGACCCGAGCAATCATCCTGTCAAAGGCGCACTCCCTTCCTATCTCCATCGCGGCCGCATGTCGGAGAGCCATTGAGGTGCCCGTCGCCGCCATCGCATCTGCAGCACGGGCGGGGAAGGGCCCGTCGAGAGCTTGCGGTGTTGCAATCGGACGCATTCGGGGTCGAGGACATCGAAGTTCCAGCAGAGAACCACGGCCAGACAATAATATTGGTACCAAAAATAGCCATCGTGCTGCCGTTGCAATGCCGTTTCGCGCGACGTCGAGATGCGATCGATTGACCTCGGGGGCTTCTCCTCGCGTCGCAAGCTATTGTATCGCTCAGAATCCGGCGCAGTCGATTCGGCCGCTCGCTCGCTCGGAGCCATTCTTCTTCGGCGTGAGGGACAATGTGTCGCTGGAAAATCTGGGAGGAATTGGCTCCGAAATTCGGTGCAGTGACGATGCGAGGGTTGTGGTCCCTTGGTGGTTTCGCCTCTTGTGCAGCAACGGAAAGTGGGTCGAGCCTGCCGTTGCACAAGCCCAACTCCACTGTGACCAAAAAAGCGGCAGGCGAGGTCCCTGGATGCCCCACCTTTCTACCAAAAGGAAGACAATAAAGAATAAATCAAGAGGCATCGGCAGTTTAAAACAAGACAAAAGGAGTAAACTAAGCTATTGGTAGTTTAAAACAAGACAAAAAGGATGGATAAAGCCAAGACCTTGAATAACAATACCAGGATCATATATATGCAGCTATGCCAGTTATAATCGTCTGCCGGTTCTTTTTGGCCGCAGTGAGCCAACTTACAGGGCCTGACTAAATTTTGGTAAGTGGAGTCGAAACCCAACCTCACCAATTTCCCTGTGAGCACTGAACTTTTCTTCGCAACCACAAATCAGGTAACGGTACGAAAGTATCACAAAATCAGAATGCTATCATTTGCGACTATTCGCGCTGCGCTGAAGAAGTCGTCATTCAATCTTACTTCGCAATTTTCGACGATATTAACCCTGTCGCTACAAGGAGGTATCACGGTTCGCTCAGACCAGCGCTGGACACGTTTGTCAGACGCAAGACAACTAACTGGACCTAACATGACTTATTCGTTACCAGCCATCAACAATGCTTCAACATCCCTCTGGAACATCGGGGTGTAGGACCTGCGGCGTGTAGAATGTGCCGCCAGTAACGAGATGTGCCGATCCGGCGGCACAACCGACTCCGCTAACGCCGTGCTTTTCTGTGCGCTGGTAAGGAGCACCTTAAGCGCAGGGCCAGGCCGGTGCTCCCCCGAGTCGACGAGCCCCAGCAACATACCACCCACATGACAGGCATCGTCTCCCCACCCATCTAACGCTGTTTCTAAATCGGAAACTCCATCGATGACACAAAACACGGGACGGGAACGGTCCAAATGGGAGAAGAGTTCGCAAAACAACCGACAGAGACTCGGCACGTCGCCTGCATCTACAGCGCTGAGAAGCTGCATATCGACAAATTCCAGTGGCGGTGACGATGAGGCCGTACCGTCCTCGTCACTCTGGCTTCCTACCAGGAGCTGGTGCACGAACGATCGAATGAGCCCTACCGGACCACTCAAGGGGTTCCGTTGCCCCAGATGCTGGCCACAGAAATGATGGAGGACGACCGGGGAAGGCTGCTCGGTGTGATCCTCCTCGTCGATATTCATTATTGTTTCGACGAGAAAGGCGCATATGGCCGACATGGGTGACACCTTGGCTGCTGCGATATTACCACATTGGCCGTCGACGAGGACCAGGTCAGACACGGTAGCCGGCGCTTTGAGCCACCGGGTGAAGCGTTCGGTCTCCAACAACCGGCTACTTGGGGCGCCTGTGTCATTCTTGAGGCGATAGCTGCGTCGAATCACTTCTTCCAGGGCGTCGTCTACCGCAGAGTCTGGTACGTTGAGGGCGTTTAGGACATCATGGAGCCTAGCACGTGGTGATGTCGAATGTGGCGCGGGGTGTGGAGCTTGCTCGATCTGCGGCAAAGGTGAAGCCGGCGCCAACAACGACGGGCTCACGGCTGCCGTCACGAGCCACGGCAGCGCAGGCTGCTGGGTCGGCCCCGGGAATCCTGGCCAATACCAGCCGACTCCGGTCCCCCGGATCCCCTCGAGCACCCGGTCCGCCACCTTTTCCATGACGGCCTGGAAATGCTTGTCCTGGCCGGTTATCGCAAGCCGGGATTCGAGCCGAGTTACACCGTCGTCGATCGTCGCTTGGATGCCGTCCATTCCGGACTTGAGGGCCTTAACGTCGGCACTCATCCCATCGTTGAGCACCAGGATCTCGCCCACCGCTCGCTCCATCGCAGCCCGCGAACATCGGTCAACGCGTTCCGATGCTTGGGATACCCGAAGAAGGCATTCCTCGACTACGTCGGCTTCCTTCCCCGGCCGTTGCTTCCAAAGTCGAACCACTGCATGACGAATGTCAGCGCTCAGCTGGGCACTCCCAAAGGCATAGTGGACTCACGTCGATTCTTATGGGGATGACTACGCAGTAGTATCCTAATCAGAGTCGCAACGTCCTCCACCAGTGTGTTATAGAGTTGTCTGACAGCATGTAGTAGATCAAGCGCATTGGGGAATCGCATGCCAGCCTCGACCGCATCCAGGAAGGTTTGCGGGATGCCCTCGAACGCTCGGAGGATTTTGGTGCGGGTTTCTAACCGCAGAGTAACCATCTATTGTTTCCCCCTGATCAGTGACCACGAGCATGGAGCCAACAACCGCTTGACACACACTTACCTTGAACAGTGTCATTAGACCGCCCCGCAAAATGCTCAGGCCATCCTGGTCCGGTATCATGCCCGCCAACGCCTCGAGGACCGCAACCTCAGGCCCGGACTTTCTCAGCCGGGATCGCAAGATCGACTTTTCGGCCTTGGCACCGTCTTGGGCCTTGGCTGTCTCGATGGCGCTGATGACATCCTGCCAGCAGGACGATCGATTTGGCAGAGTGTTGTCGACAATCTCGACGTCTTGCAAGACCTCCACCAATGATCTATCCAGCAGATCGTAAGCTCGTGGCGCCGGGCAATAACGACGGATTTGTCATGGTGGCCTACTCTGGGTGAGAAATAACTACTGCACCGAGCAATGCCGTGTCTGTATCCATTCCAGAGACAATCACGTCTCTGTAAAGCAATCCCCGCGACGGTACTGTACCGGCCCGAGGGAAAAAGAGTATCGTCGTCAATCGGCCGTAAATAAAAAAAAACAAAACACACGAAACTTCCTGACCCGTATCACAGGCCGAGGTCGCGAGTCGCAGGTTTATAGACAGCTAGTTATACAACGTCTCCCGGTGTTATCGGGCGTGGCGGGGAATGAAGAGGTTGAATGTCTTCCATTCGGGCACTCGGCTGTCAGATGTCCATCTGCGCCGTTGGCTAGCGTAGCACCCGCCTAGCCCGCCCATTCTTCGCCCGGCAGATCGGATGGCAGTGTCAAAATCCCGCCACGAACCACGCGTTCCGGGCCGCCAGGTCCTTGCAGCAAGTCCGGCCCCAGACTCTCGGAAAGGAAGAGACCCCGTGGGTTGCCTAACTTAGCGCCGTTCATCGCCCGCGAGATTTAGCCCACAGGGCTGTCGTCGGGCTGCGGCTGTGCCGTTGCGTCGGTGATTGGCATGGTAGTCGCAGTTGTGCCAGACAATTGCGTCGGGGAATGCACGAGCTGCACTTTGGGCCTCCATTCATTGGCCAGTGTAGCGGCTCCTCAAACCGTTCGGTGCAGCACCGAATCCTTCACGGCAATGGTGTGAGGGCACTGAGGGGCTGGACTGCGTCGACCGCAAGAGGGGTGAGGGCGGGTGACCGTCTTGGCGCTAATCACTCAAAACCATGCGGAACTCTCTGGACAAGGCTCTCTCGGTGATCATGTGTGTGCAAAATGGATCGTGAGCAACCTGGGACATTTCAGGCCGACGGAGACCTCCCTTCGCCTCTCCAACAAACTGCGCTCCCCAAGTCCAACACCTGGCCGAGAGACACCATGCCGCCTTCGCTTGAAGCCGCCGTGGATGAACCGGTACCCCCCTCGCCTGGGTACTCGGATTACAGTAGCAGGACCGGCTCTGTCGTCGAAGAAATAGAAACGGAAGGCTTCATCCCCCCGCGGCCACCTCCGAGGCCAGCTTTTAGCCAGTTACCAACCACATTTGCCCCGACCGACCAGAAGGGGCCACAATCTCTAGATGATCGGGGTTCGTTGCAGCCATTGCGGGCGCCGCCTGAGGTGCCCATCATTCCTCAAGCTCGAAAATGCACTTTTGAGCAGTTTGTCAACCGCTTCTCCCCTGAAGAGTCGGGGTATGCCATCGAGTATCTCGAGGCAGGGACGGAACTCGGCTTGGAAATGGCCAAGGAGGTGGCGAGAAGGCGTCTGGGGAAGGTCAAAGGGTACGAAGGACAAAACGCCATCGAATACAAGAGCCGGCGTTTCGACGGCGGTCTTTCGAGTGGCACCTGGCTGCAAGCCGTCCGGATCCAGTCACCAGCAGTTCTTAACACCCTCGCCGAGGTCACGGGCTACAACTGGGGCACGGAACCACACACGTTTATGCGGCCGTTTGGGTACTTGATCCACTTCCAGCCCAAGATCAGGGAGAAACTAGCTGCGCTAGAAGCCATAGCGCTAGAGACTGACGACGCCGCTCACCACGATGCGGTGGAGAACCTGCAGTGTTATGTGGCGTTCGTCGAGAAGCACCTGATGCCCCTTCTTGACCAGTTCGCTGATGCCGACCACGCCAACCCAAAGCGCATTCGGTACGAGGATCTGTGGTATCTATTCAAGCCCGGTGACTTGATTTACCTCCCGCGGAGCACCCTGGAGAAGATTCTCAAAGGGCGCAACAACAAGCACGAAATCAACGAATCCGCCATCTATCAAACGATCTGGCGACTGGAAGTGTTTTGGCCCCACGAAGGCGATCTGACGTTGCCGATGCTGGGCAGCTCATCGTCCGACTGGGAGGCCAAGACGCGGCTGTACTTTGTCGACTACGACGGCACCGCGTACAAGCCGGTGTCGATCGACGTGACAATGGAACACTTTGACGGCGAAAAGGACATCCGCAGCTTGGAGGTGTTCCCAATCCGGTTCGTCTCCGACAGCCAGGCTAACATCGAACGGAGCCGGGAGCTCGGCGAGAAGTTCACGCAGTGCGTTGAGCAACGGCACGTATCGTACAAGGCGTGGACGCTCATGAACGAACCCTTGGGGTGGCGCTATATCAACTCGAACACCGGACGGCCGGCCACCAGCCCGGACTTTATCGACGGAGACGTCATTATCGATTTCCACGAAGGGTTCAATGCGCACCCACAGTTCAAATACAGTTATGGATTGCCAGAGAAGTGGTCCAGCGACGTCCTGACGACACGAGACAAATTCCCGATCCTTTTGTGGTCCGACAGCTCGCGGTCCAAGCTCGTATCGGAGTGGATCAACGTTGTGGTGTCGGACGACGATATCGACTTCCTCGAGGGCAAGGAGTTTGGGGAGAAGCATCCGTATGGGCAAAACGGCGTCGACAAGCCCCCGCCCGCGGACCTCGTCTTGCTTCCACGGCGCCTTCTCGGTTACGGGCTTCAAGAACGCAAGTTCTTGTTCCTCGACGTCGACAAAGTCACACTGAAGCCCGAGGACGAGTTCGATGCGTTTGACTTCCTTGAGATTGAGCCGGCCAACAAACACGTTATCCACTGCCTACTGACCGACCATTTCAACACCAAAGAAGCACGAAAGATGGGGGAGATTGCGAGCCAAGACCCAATCCGCGGCAAAGGGCGCAACCTCGTCTTTCTCCTTCACGGGCCCCCAGGTGTCGGCAAGACGGCGACCGTCGAGGCGGTGGCTCAAAAGTACCGCCGCCCGCTCTTTGCTATCACGTCGGGTGATCTCGGGTCGACGCCAGACGCCGTTGAGTCCTCGCTAACTGAAATCTTTCACCTCGCCAATGTGTGGGACTGCATCCTGTTGCTAGATGAGGCCGATGTGTTCCTAGAAGAGCGAGAGAAGAGCGACCTTAAGCGGAATGCTGTTGTATCAGGTGTGTTTTTCCCGGTTCCATGTGTGCTTCATCGCTAACGACGACAGTGTTCCTCCGCGTCATGGAATACTACAAGGGCGTACTCTTCCTGACTACGAATCGGCCTGGCCAGCTCGACGAAGCGATCAAGTCCCGCGTCCACTGCGCCCTCCTATACCAAACACTGAGCAAGGAACAAACGCTCCAGATCTTCAAATTGAACATCAAAAGACTTGAGTACATTGAGATGCAGCGCGGAAAGGTCCAGCCCGACTCCTCGCAACCCCACTTACAGGCCGACAAGACGGGCATCCTGGACTTTGCAAAACGGCACTGGTCCCAGCACGAATACGACGAACTCGGCCGCTGGAACGGGCGGCAGATCCGCAACGCATTCATTCTTGCCGCAGCACTCGCGCGCGGTGATGCAGACAGCACCGAAAGTCGCGGGCGGCCATCGGTTGTGCTAACAGACCGCCACTTTCAAAACGTCGCCAACAACATCACGGCCTTTGACAAGTACATGGCCCGGGCCCGCGGCGCACTAGATTCAGAGCGTGCCCGTACCCGCTCAGACCGGCCTGCGCCCGAGGACGACTCGGACTCGGTGCCCAACCGGCGGTCCTCACGGAACCCAAATCTCAAGCGTCCGTCATACAGCAACCTCGGCGCGACACCACAAACGCCGACGTCCTCACGGCAGTACTCCCTCACCCCCGTCTCCCCAACTCCACCGTATTACCTCCAGCCGTCCCCCCCGGCACCACCTCCGGCACAACAACCCGCACAACAACCCTACGCCGGTGGGTACGCATACCCTGGTCACCCGTACGGGGGTCCCGTCGTTCCTGTCCCAGTGTGGCCACCTTCAACGCAGCCGGGCGTCCAAGGACCGCCACCGACCATACATCAGGTGCCTCCAACTCAACAATACCATCAAGGTGTGCAGCAAGGCAGTGAAGGAATGGGGTATCAGGGCAGCACACAGCAGGCGCCACAAACGCCAGAGAATCACAATTCTCAAACTGCGCCGAGATAGCATAGTCTACGTAGTTGATGTAATGGATCATGATGTTACGTGCGGGTTCTTACACATGAATGGGTTGAAACAGCGTTGAATCAAACAACCTTGAATCACTAGTAAGAAGCGATGTGCCCGTTTAGCTTCGCCCGCGTGTAACCGTTCAGTAAAGTAGTACTTAACGATATCGACATGAAAATTTCAGCCGTTGTCCCAATAGTGCTTACAAATGTGTTACTTCATCATTCAGACGACGATAGTTGCACGCTGTGGGGTCGGAAAACGGGGTGACTCAAATCGCCGGGCCCAATCCATCTCGCCGGATCGTAAACAGGAAGATAAAACGAGTCCAAGACCGACCAGACTTTCAGCCACAAAATTCCTCCCACAAGGCCCTGAGTAAGACTACAAGTTGCTACCTAATTAATCACCGCACAAAATGTCCGCCGTCGACCCCAATCGCTGCGACATCACGGCCTTCATGGCCCAAGCCTCGACCGCGCTCGGTCGAGAACTCCCAGCACCCAAAGACATCTTCAACTTCGGCGGGTCATCACCCGAACTAGCCGACTCACGACTCCGACTCGCCATCGCCGGCGCCAAATCTGCCACCACTTCCTGGCCCGTCCCAGACCCGATGCATTGGGGCGTCGGCGACCTCTCCGTGATTCTTGACGGGCGTGGCGTACCGGCCGCCATTATGCGCACCACGTCACTGCTGCGATGCCGGTTCCGCGATGTGGAGGAGGAATTTGCGCTCGCTGAGGCTGAGGGGGATTATGAGGCGTATCGGACGGGGCATATTGAGTTTTATCGGGCGCAGGAGAAGGAAGGGGGTGAGAAGTTTGGGGATGATAGTGAGGTGTTGTGTGAGCGGTTTGAGATTGTTTATGCTGTGGTTGATGGCGAGGTTGTAAAGCCTTCGGCGTATTAATTAACTCGTTTAACCGTTTAACGTCGGGTATCGTGTCATTTGGATTACGAACATTATAAATACAGCGGCAGTAGAGGGACCCTGAGTCCTGACAAAAAGAAAATATGCAGTAAGAATGAAGGAAATATCATGCGTGCCCCACGCTCAGGCAAACTTGGAAGGCACCGTTGGGCCGTATACCTCAAGGTGGCCACTATCAGAGCGCATGGCCAGCTTAGCGTTGCACCGTGAGCAGAAGAAAGTTGTCGTCTCAAACCAACCAGCCACACACGGCACGCAGGCAAGGCACACGCAGAGCAAGCAGCACAATACACCAGCGACACTGTCGAGCCAATCAGCTACGGTTGTCCACGCAGAACACACCACGAATAAATACAAGGTTGACTTACACCTGCATCGGCGAGCCCTCCTTCTGTACCCTCGTCAAGGCCCGAGTTCGGCAAAATGGGCAGTCGACCCATTGCGGTTGGTCCCCTAGCTGGTGAAACGGCGTGACGCCCGGGACTGGGTGTAGTTGTTGTTGTTGTGTTGTTGCCATGTTGGGCTGGGGAAGAGGCTTGTCGAGGGTTGCTGGAATCTGCTGTACCGGCGCGGGGCCACGGTTGGCCGCAGGTTGGCTGGCATCCTGAACTTCGTCTGTGGCCCGGGGCGAGTACGCGGGCGGTGCCGGCGTGATCTCTGGCTCGACCGCAGGGGGTTGTTGTGGTTGTTCCTGTTGTTGCGGCTCGATCGCCTGCTCGACAACAGGGGCCTGTTGTTGTTGTTGCTGCTCTTGCGTTTGTCCCATGGCGAACGGTTTCGAGAGGCGTTTCTGCGGGTTGGGCGGATAACTACTGGAATGCCCAATTCTTCGTGAATAATTAAATGGTCTCGGAATTTCCTCTCCTGTATTTGTTATCCGAGGAGTTCGAATCTTCTTTCAACATTCCTCCTGGCACACGTCCTCTTTTAAAGGTCGAATTAGCGCAACACGGCCGAATTCGTGGCACTGCATGCCAATCTTTTTCGAGCAGAGTAATTCGGTCCCTTGTAACGCCGACAAGGACTGTCATTGGAGCTGGCCACGCACGCACAGGACGATTCAAGCAAGGATTCATCCGCTCAACCGTTCCAAAACGCCTTGGGCCTTGTGCGAGCCATCAGCCCCATAAAGTGGGCTTGTTTGGCCCGTTCATGGGTCCTCTTCCAGGCTTGGCCAGTGGCTGTGAGCAAACCGCCTGTAATTGGCGAAGATCCGGGCAGACAGGCAAGACAGGCAACAGCATACGAGACTTAGCTCCTTGGCTAAGTTAGCTAAAAACAACAATTCTTGATTTGGTGGGATCGAATTCCCTGCGAATACCGAACCCAGCGCGCGACCAAGAGGTTTTGCTCCTTACCACGGGAAAGCGGCATCACGGTTCAATGAGCCCCTAAAAACAAAGTTTGGGGAAAGTCTTGGCGCTAGACCTCCATTTGTGGGGATCCGAAACCGTCAAGTCTTTATGACATCATTGTCATGGCTTCAACTGCACACTCGGGTGTTGTTTCTAAACTGGAGAAGACTTTTTGGCCGACATTGTTCTCTCGGATCCCATTTAGATTCCCCTGGAAACAAAGCTCTCAACTTTTAAGTTACACTTGCCGTTCCACGTAAAATCATGTCAGACATCCTCGAAGCCCTTAAAGACGCGGTCAGCCCGAAGCGACGCGCACAGGCCACAGACGAGACGTACGATGCCCACAAGAGGGGCCCGTACCCGGATCAGCCGCCCCATGCCCCGGCCGGCGAAGCAGTCTCCGGCCCGTCCCCGGTCGAAGCTCGGAATCCTGGGCGCGCAGAGCAAACGGACCTCAGCAGGGGGGCGGCTACCTCGGCTGCGGCGCCCGCATCTCAGAGCGCCGGCCCATCCCAGGTTTCCTGCGGAAGTCCTGCTAAGGAGACTCCCGCCCCGCATCGCGGGGCCAACTCGCACCACGACCATCGGCCCAGTCAAAGCGTCAGCGAGTATAATGAAGCTACTCATCGTCCGGTGCACGCCGAGGGTGGGAAATTTGGGCTTTCGTGAGGTTAGTTGCGGGGAGGAGCATGTTAATTATTTAGGATTTGCTATTTTTGATGTTGATAATAATAAGTTACAAGTAATTAATATAAAAATAACATCTTTGCTCAATCCTACCCCAACATCTCACATTACTGGGGAGAACCTCCTTTTCCTTTGCCAATAAACTTTGAATCCACCCAGGAAGAGTACATATGGGACATTAAACTAACACAAATAATGGAAATCACGAAATACTTCACCGCTCCGTTTGCTTCATTCAGGATAGCAGCGAGCGCAGCTTGTTTGATGGGCCAGATGCTCCACTGTGAAGCTTGGTAAACGGCTTATCGATAAGACAGACGCGACGCGGTTGTCCTCCCCAAGCCGCAAACACAACGCCTCGCATTCCTGATGACATTGGCTCTCTTGACCGCAGCCTTCCGTTCTTCAACCATTATCTAGTGTGTCATGCTATCAACAGCGATTCCATTCCTCGCAGACTGGCAGGACAGCTGAGCTCGACAGCCAGGTTGACACGGGTGGTGAGGATCTTCTGCTTTCCACGTTTGACTGTTATTTCGTAGCTGACAAGTGCTAGATGTGTTAGGTGGGAACGACCGATCTTATCTCGCAAGCAGATTCTCGACTAGATATCCATACATCGGACAGGACCGTATCCAAGGCAACGACGCGAAAGCGCCCCCGAGCAACCAGAGCTGTGATGCCGGATCCTACCGCGAGACCTACACCAAACATTGGAGTTACATTTCTCGGGCCCATCTTCATGTTGCTCTTGCCGCCTGGGCTGGCCCGCCTCAATCCTTTTCGTACGATACAGCCTTATGACCCTACAATGACCACGAGCACCCCGTAGCATTATCCGACCTTCTAGCATCACCATACCTTCACCTTGCAAGACGAGATGCCTGTACCATTATCGTGGCCCCTGCTCGGGTACATCCCTGTGGACTTTATTAAGCCAAAGCTCTGGCCCTGACTATAACGAGCCACATTCTGGGGGATGCCCACTGGGTTTGGGTGAACCGGGGAAACCCCGGTGCCCGATGTGCAGCTTGCTTTCCGTCGAAATACCGGTAGGTTTGTTACTAATGTCCCGGACTGTCCCAAAATGATCTCGGGTCGTGGGCGGATGACGAGTGCCGCGACCATCAAGCTGGAACCGCTGAGTGAGTCTACGCTTCAGATGCTCAGTGATGTCACCATGGAAGTGAACGAGTGTTCTGGCGATGCCCGCTAGCACAACTCATATGAGTGTAAAGTTGGAGGAGCTTGAATAGCCCGTACCCTAGCAGCGTGTCGTATTTATCAGGAACCAGGAGTGCGGTATGTATGTATGAGTTGACTTCTTGCTGTCATTGCAAAGGTCCGTTTCCTCAATCTCCGCATCAAATACGACGCAAAGTAGAATGTCTCCAACACTCAACCGCACGTTGCGTCAGCATCACGCTTGCTTACAGTTCGACGGGAGAAGCAAGCATCTAAAATATGAGAGGGTGGGGTAAGGCCATTCTGAGAAGAATAGTAGGAACAATATAAGCCATTCTTCCCGTTTAAAACCTTTGTTTCAGGTCATTGTTCGTTATTTCACAATGAGGATGATTCGGACAAAAATTTAACTGCGTCGCCTAACTTTCTCTTGACTGAGTAAATGCTGTCAGTAGTACACTTCTCATGTAATATAATTAAGCCTGCTCTTTCCCTTCTTCATGAGGAATTGTTAAATTTCCATTCCACCGTATGAGTGATTTTGATAAAGTAAGTAATTAACCCGGGACATGGGCGGTATCTGCCCTTCGAATCTTGAACAATTCAAACCTTGGTGTTCTCATCACAATACGACTGGCAACACATGGTGGAAAGATGCAAAAGAATACTGGATAAGTTGTACAGCAACAAATAAAATAATTAAAGCGCTAAGAGATGTGTGGTATCCAACCTTTTCTGCGCTAATACAACAAGACCATACGCGCGCCGTCCTCTCCCCCTGACCCCCTTCCTTTTGACCACAGTAACATGCCGTAATACTTTAGGAAAGATAGCTGTTGTAGATTTCCACGTAGTCCGTGTTCCACCAGCATGACAGCGTTTGGTACATAGCGCTCACCCGCTGGTGGAGGATTCCTGGATGCTGCCCATGTGCTTGGCTTCGGTGTTGATAGCCAGTCGTGTTGTCCCCGTCGTTTGACCTCTCGTGCCCGCCGTTTTCTTCCATTCTCTCCGACGCGCCGCATGCTTCTTCCGGTAGCAGCTCGCGGAGCATCCCGTCGCCGGCCAGGAGTGCCCGTTTGGTGGCTGGGTCGTGGATGGGGTTGCGGAGTTGATGCGCGAGGTACTTCAGGTCGCGCAGTACACGGGAACAATCCCGGGCGTATTCGCGGCCTGTGAGAGCTTCCGATTCGAACACTTCACCGGCCCAGGCGACATCGTCCCGATCTTGTGTCCGTAGGTTGACAAAGACGATTTGGTGCATGGTGAGGACCACGGCAGCGTTGAAGATGTTGTGCAGGTCGCCGAGCATCAGCTTTTGCCGCGGGCTGTGTAGCCACATGAGTCTTCCGAGTCGCAGATTGCGTCGAGCCGCATCGCTGCATGCGCGGATCGGGTCGGTCATGCGTGTGTGCATGGATTCGATGTCAAAGGTCTGATCGATGCAGACAATGCTGGCAACGGCTTTCCACGCGGCCGTGAGCATTGCCGGCCGGACTGCGAGGATAACAAGCTGCATACGTCGTTAGCAGTGTAACACAGCGGCAAAGACAGGGTGCTTGTTGGCTGACTTGGTTGTAACTCATGTGAAGGGCCCAGCAAGCCCGGTCCTCGCCAAAGCTTTGAGCGCCGTTGAGACCTTCCGGCCCTTGCCCAAATGAGGTAGCTTGTGTGAATAGGTCAACCGGCGTGAGAGTTAGAGGGTCCGCTGGGAGCTGGAGAACCGCTGGTAAGTTCTCGCGCCATTTGCGGAGCATAGCAAGCGCCTTCCCGACGCGGACGGTTGCCTTGGACAACAGGTCGGGCAACCCAGCCTCGCGGTAGCTACTGTACACGATAAAGTCGGATATCCTGCTAAGCTCAATGTGGGCACGTAGGCCGACAGGCGACGGGAGGCCACTGTTGGGATTAGTACGAGAACTTGGACACGTAGGTTTCTGTGGATACGAACGGTGATTCCCGTGGCAGTGGCAACGTAATGGCGTCGTCCGGTGTTGTTGGTGGTCGTCCCATAACACACCCTAGCCACCTTCGAACCGTTAGCCCAGAGATTCCAGAAGCTTTGTCCTCGCCGCACCTACCTGTCCAAGACGTAAACCGTCCAAAAGGTCCTCACGCCAACTTCGCCACCGAAGCCGCCCTTGTGTAACCCATGCATGACACTAATGGTCATGGCGTTGCTGATGGCCATGTAGGCTGCGTCTCGACGGTTATTCTCGATGAGGTACAGACCGATAAGCGCAAGGACGGCCACGTCGCTGACTGTGTAGGTGGTCCGGTCCAGCAAGTTCCCCAAAAGCGACCGAGCCCGGGCAAAGAAAGCCTCGCCCAACTGACCGTCGGCCGCAGAGCCGGGCTCCTTGATGTTCAGCATGCAGGTCATGGCAAAAGCGACATGATATAATGCCAGCGGGCGGTGATGAGGCCCCGGCCGAGCCCTCGACCCATCCGGGGCTGGGACACTTGGAATGGCAGCCAACGAGAGAACACGCTCGACGTCTTCGAACGGCCAAAACATGATCCCGCCACTTGGGAACGTGCCACGGTTGTCCTGAATAAAGTAATAAACTTGCGAAAGGGCATCGACCATCTCGGACTTGGTGGGCAGGAGTAATGGGTCGGGGTCCTCTGGCAGCTCCATCGGGCGTGAATCGTGGGTTTGGTACTGTCCAAGAGACGCGAGAAAGGCCGTGCCAGCAGACGGGTCCGTCGGGTCACCGTCGAGGACCTGGGCCAATGGCTGAGCCGTGGTGATTAACTCTTTGAGGGTATCCAGGAAGGTCGCGCCCGAGGTCTCGCCAAGGTACCGGGAGGTGCCGGCCGGGTCGGCAAGCATACGGCCATCTATGCCGCCTCGCATGAGAAACTGGGCGTCGCCATTCGGGGACAGCGAATCGACGGTTTCGGCCCGGGACGACACGGGGGGTGAACCAGCCGGCTGCGCCTGCCGGTCCGGTTGGTGATCGCTCCGTTCTGTGGTGGCAAGCTGCCGTTCAAGTGAGGCACACCGGCGTCGCAGCGAGTCTAGCTCCGCCCGTGGGATCGTCACCCGCTCGACCGGCTCAGGGTACAGGCAGTCGCGCTGGGCGCTCGTGCATTGACGGCACGGCCGGTCGCCGCTGCATTTGATGCGGCGGACATTGCAGCTGTTGCAACTGATGAAGGGCGAAGAAGAAAAGGTGGGTTTGTCAGCGGGTTCGTCCGAACAATGATGGAACCATGGAAACCTGGAACAGGGTTCAAGGTGAAGGTGAAGGTGAAGGTGAAGACGGATTGAGATGAGAGAGATGAACGAGGCCGAGGGAACGGACGGAATATGAGGACCGCAACTATGAAGCGGCTCGAGCACATTCCAGGGGCCAAGGGAGGTTGTCGGGGACACTCACGCGGTAGCCACACGTTTACGCTCGTCGGGGGCGACTTTCTTGCGGCGGGGGTTGACGGGCAGGCGATGCAGCGGCGACAGCGCCGAGGCCGAGACGTCCAGGTTCGCAGACGGATTTGACGGCCTCGGCATGGTCTGGCATCGAGGTGGTTGGAAGGGAACAACGGCGGAAGGGCGGCAAAGAGGACGGACGCGGAGGGTGTTGGGGGCGTTTAAGCTTTTCGGTGTCTGTACCCGTGGTGGAGGAGGAAATGGGGCAAAAAGGTTCGGGTCCACGGTTGTTTTGGCGGGGGGGGGAGCGAAATCAGGGTTAGGCGGTGGGGCTTACCTTGGGGGGCATTTGAGGGTTCAACAGTGGAGAGAGTGATGGAGAAGGCACTCACCCACTCACGCACTTCACACGGCAAGCACGGTCACAACACACTGGACGCTCACGCAACCAACTTCCCCACTCCCCTGCGCTTCTGCACCCATGCACACCGGCCCCCGCCCTGGTTGTCCCCAACCGCCGATTTCGCAGCTTGCCATTGGCCGCGGCTGCTTCCCGTTTCCCATCAAGAAGCCAAGGCTGCCACACGAACAGCCTGTTGTCGAGCCGATTCACAGGGCCAGCCGCAGGAGAGCGGGGTGCCACTGGACGGTTTTGCAGTTTTGCAGTTTCCCATCGGGGCTCGCATGACCCTCCGCGCGCTTCGGTGAAGGGGTCGCTGCAGGGCTGTCGCAACAACTGCGTGTCGCTGCAAGCCCACAGTTCCACGGTGTCGCAGATTGCTGTGGGTGTCATGAAATTGGCGCGAACGAGGCCTTGGCCAGCCCCAAAAAAGGGGATGAGCGGGATTTGTTTCTCCCAGAGGAAACGTTCAGTTGATCATAGGGTACGGAAAGTGCTAACCCCCGAGATTACACCAGGCTCCGAGACCCTACACTAGATAAACGAGGCATCCGACTCGACAACACACGACCACTCCTGAGTCCTGACCGCGAGCCCCCCGGGCCGATCTCGATCGCAGGGGCATCCGCCCTGCCGCGGATGACGGGCCGTAGCGTGGCCGGGAACGCCAAGCATTTCCCTGTCACCAACCTGCACTTGCACCTGCACCACCAACCGTTACGAGGAATGGATCCGACGGCAATCCCAGCACACAGATGCTGCGACAGCGACTTGTTCAAATGCGAGCCAAACAAACCCAGCGGCCACCGCAATGCCTTGCATTGTAATCTGGACCCCGAGCGGTGTTTGTCGTCAGAATGGGCTGATGCGAGCGAGGGATATTACGTACATGCCGCAGACCCTGCGTCCAGCGTGGAATTAGCTGGTCGCCCGATAACCGCATCTGGGCCGGCATCTGCTGGTGGCCGTCGTCCGATGCCCGTGGTCCTGTCTGCGGCAGAGGCGAGAGCGGGGAGCCCGCCGCAATCGAGCAACGTACAGATCCGTATCTGGTCCATTGCAGCGACCTGCAGACCGTGAACGAGAAGAATCGACACACCAATGCTCGGAATGAAGGCTCGGCGTTCTGTGTCTCTCGAGAAACTGTACCGGTTCTTCCCCACAGGCCGTTGTGACAGGATGACACTACCGCATCCGGCCTATGGACCGACAACGGCCCGAGCCCCGTCGGGCGCCATCAACGGCACTGCCGGAGCTCGTCACCATCGGTCGGGAACATCGGTAATGGCCGTGAAAGTGCTATTCAGGCGTGATTCACGCATTGCTTGTGCCCCCCAAAAATGGCTCTTTTGGATACACATCGCTGCGAGCCAAATTTACCATGGCATAGTGCGCATGTGCCTCATTCCCAATGGGGGAATCTGAGCTGGGGGCCTGCAGAACCTTGGAAGGCGTGGATGCCCTGGTCTTGGTTCCGTGCAATCCGAGTCCTGCAGCCTCGTTCGGCCGTAGGACGGACCCCCCTGACTCAGGCGAAGAAACTTCTCATCCAAGGAAAGGTTGTAAGACAGCCTTGGTCACAAATGACGAGCTGAGCAACACGGGCACGACAGATACGGTTACAGCGCTGCGGGTGGGCAATGAGGGGAATACCGACGGAACCTTGAGCCGATGAGGATGAGGATGGTCCCGAGGGAATGGGCCGCTTCCACGTTCTTGATGTTTATTTTGTCCCTCGATTCTCGCCGCAACATACCCACGGTCGGGAAGCATCGCAGCTACCAGAGTATCTCATGTTCTTTTGGGGTTCTCCGCTGTCCTGGAGCGCGACCACCACTGGCCACTCATTCTACCAAACAACAACTGTTGTGCCGCCACACTCACTGTCTAGGACTCGCCGGTTCAAATTTTGAGGTGACTAGCGATCCACCCGGATCATAACGGTGAGACTTGACCAGAAGATCAAGCTGGCGGTTCGAATCAGCCGGGTAAACCCGCCAGCGCTCATCCTATTGACAATGAATTCTCGCGTTTCGCCGACTGTGGTTTCTTCGTCAAGCGTAACGTGTACAGTGGCAAAATTTCCGTGATTAATTATAGACACATTTGCGATCGTTTATGCTGTCTGAGGGTCGCTGACCACCAATGTTTTATCATGATGTTGGATGCTGTGGAGCTGAGTTTTCTCGGAGACCACTGGTAAGCCCGAGAGTAACGGTACGGCCACCAATGGCTTGGCGCGAACAACGCAACTTGTCCCCTACCAGTCGCCTATTTGTCTGACTTTTCAAGAACTGATGACGAGAGCGCAACGGTGTGTTACGCTCGCGCGCCGACGCTCCTCCCTTTGGGAGTCATTCTTCCATCGGATCTATCTCATCCATCCTCCTCCTATTTTCAATTTCACAACGAATTTTTCCGCTGCCCGGCCTCCCTCGCTTCGTAGGCAAATGCAGAACAGCTCTTTTAATCTTCCGGTCGAGGTGGAGCAACTCCACGGCACGGTTTCCGTATGACACCCCTTCAATATTACCTGCAGGGCCGACGGCGCCTCGTTTTGATCCTGCCAATCGTCGGGTTAGCCTTACTTCTCGCTGCCGGCCTCTACCAGGGCTCGATCCCGCAGCCACCACTGTGCGTGCGCGACCCTGCCCGTATTATCGGCGACCTGCTTGCTGACGCAGTCTAGGCCAAAGGTTGTGTTCGGCGACTCTCCCGAGAATGAGCGTTATGATAGTGGGCAACCCCAGGCAAATGATCTTCCCAGCCTCATACGTGCCCTGTGGGCGCCCGTTGTGCTGCCCATCACCGCGCCGTCCTTCACGACCATCGATGGCCTGAGGAAACAGCTCCCACGTCCGAACCATCCCATCCACGCAACCCCCCTTGGAAAGCGTGTTTGCGTTCTGGACGTCGACAACCGTGGCTTTGACGACGAAGGTGGCATCTTCTCTAACCAGCTTCCCGTCTGGGATCGCGTAAATGGCTCAACCGCTGGGTTCCTGAGCCACTACCTGTTTGCCGCGATTCATGGGTACACCTACAAGTTTGTGCGCGCGCCCAAGTATGCCGACCGCGCCCCGCACTGGGCCAAAGTTGTCTTCGTCAAAGAGATGCTGAAACGCTACGACATCGTCCTCATGATGGACGGCGATGCCGTCTTCACCACCCCGCAGGTGCCGCTCGAATGGCTTCTCAACTACTGGCAAATCGGACCCGAGACCCTGGTTGCCATGCCCGAAGACCCAGCCCTCGATCCCAACTGGGATATACGTCACCGCGCCAACGTCAACTCCGGGTTCATCATCGCCCAGGCGAGCGACCTGACCCAACGGCTGTTTGAAGACTGGGCCGAGTGTCCCTCGGAGAAGCGCTATCCGGGCTGTGCGGAGTGGAAAACAAAGCCATTCCACGAGCAGTCGGCCTTCAGCTCCTTTGTCCGGTACGACTTTCTCGACGGCTACAGCATCGACACACACCCGCAGTACATTCGCCACATTCCGTGCTCCGATGCCAACGGATATCCCGAAGTGGCCCACTACGGATGCCTCGGGCACTTTGTCCGTCACTTTTGGCAGGATAAGAATCTGACGGTTCCCGAGTTTACTCATAACGTTATGGGCGCGCTTGCGCCGATACTGGCACATTCCGCCTACCGCCAGGGGGGTCATGTGGAAGACTACCGCGATATGGTGTTGGATGGCGCCGAACTTCTGGGTGGGCCGTAGGTGGAGTGGTTGGTTGCTGTCTGTATTTACGACCGTTTGATGATATGATGGTGGCTTCAGTTATGATTTTCAGTGTGCATTTTAATGGCGTTGGTTCAGAATGGGGGAACTTGGTTTGCACGCGGTCATTCGGCTGCAATCATGGGAAGAGAATACCAAATGTTTGGGACACAAGTTGGAGATGCTATTGAAAGGCATGGTGGACTAGTATGAGGGACGCAACGGAGTTTCTAAGTCCAAATGTCGGAACCGAAGACTGAATTCTTGTGCACTATCTTGCCCCTTTTGCACCAACGCGAGGTGAAGGTCCTACCCTGGATTTTGATGTTTATCGCGGAAAGAACAACCGCCATCGCACATTTGCCTTTCGAACCGTTCGAGAGACGTTTTAGAGACGACCATCACCCCACCATTATTGACTCCCCATTCCGCTCAAAGCATCCGAAACTAACGTCGCAAAAATGGAGGCACGTCCTTCTTTTACTTTGTGCCTCGACACAACATTGACAGCCTCGAGCGAGCACCAAGATCGCTGGGCCGAGGTTCTACGGGTCATCACCCGTCCACCCCCAGGCCTGCCCTCAGCAAACCGCATCGGTCTCTCCATGGAAGAAGTGGGAGAATCTTATTCACAGAAAGCCCTTGCGCTTTGTGGTGTGCTCTGGAACAGGGGACGCCGGCCGGAGACAGTCAGCTTGGAGCTATTCCACTTGTTGGTTTGGGACGTTTTCTATATCGAATACCGTACGTCAAGCGTTATTCGTAGTGTCATCTTGAGAAGCCCGCTAACCAACACAAGATATTCCGTTCCCGTGGAGCGCAGAAGTTAACGCCGAGTACCAGAATCCTGGGTCGTCCAAGTCTCCTGTTTACGAAGCATATTTCACCACCCGGAAACAAGCCGAGGAGTGGACCAGCCTCGACAGGAAAGCGGTGGAGGGGTTTTCGTCTTATACCTTGCCCGAGTCCTGTTGGTCACTCCATGCACAAACCGCTGCGTGGAACCGAATGGGCGAGCGATATCCGTTTCCCGACACCGACGAGGGCCTAAGCCCATTCGAGGTCGCTCTCCCGAACAGAGCCTGGGCGTACAAACATATCTATGGAGAAGAAGGGAACTTACTAACAACGATTAACGGGATAGTCGAAACAAGCGGCGGCCGCCTTTGGTTTGAGCCCGGGCCCGACGGCAGGCCGTTCACCAAACTCGTCATCGGCCCGGTGGGGAAACAGGAGGGTGGCAAGATGTCGCATGATGCGATCCTCGGCCTTGTTGAGCTTTGGATTGCGGTTCGGCAATCTGTCAAGAGTGCGGTGGCGAGGGTAAGTATGGTTGACCAGATTCGTCAAGCGTATGCGGTAGTGAGGCAAAAGGGGGCAATGAAGGCGCTGGACGAGCTGTTGGCATCCATTGCAACCAAAGAGGCGGTGATGCAGCGCGCGTTGGAAGTCCTGGATGGCGAGATTGATGGGCCCTGCAAGTTGGCCCAGGATCCTAGGAAGGAATAGATTGGAGCGGTTGGTAACAAGATGAGATGTTGACGCGCGGCATCTGAAGTAGAAACGCTAATTACCTATTTAAAGGAGACAACAATAGTGTCAATTACGAGCTTCACTAGATTAAGAGACCAAGTGAGTAATCTAACTATCTACCTTTACTCGCAATACAAAACCCCCCAATGCTCCCTCAAGACATCATTTCAATGTTAGGCCGCAACCAAGACCCCGCGATACCTCATCTTCCCCTCTCTCAGCTTGGTCATGGCATTAACGACACCAGCCTGCGTCAATGGGAACTTCTCAATAATTGGCTTGATCCCCTGTTTCCCTGCAAATCGCAACATGGCTCGCGTGCTCGCCGTCGGTGCGGTTGCAGATCCGACAATCTTCAGGCCATAGATGACCAAATCCAAGGGCGAGACCTTGAGGTGCTCCATACTAATGGTCAGGGGGAACACCAGAGCCCCTAGTGCCATGACGGGGAAGAATCTGTATAGGTGTGTTAGTCCCGATCGGCGACGTGATAGAAGGGATTGAAGACGGCACGTACGATTTCATATCCGGTGCCACACTCGTAGTAATCAAGAGCGCGTGGATCTTTTCCACTTCCTCGAGGCTTCCAGCACTGGTGGCGTAGAATTCAGAAGCGCCTAGCTCCAGCGCCTGTTGCCGCTTACTCTCAGTGCCCGAGAATACAACGACCTCCATGCCCATCTTAGCGGCAAACTGGATGGCGAGGTGACCGAGCCCACCGACACCGAGGACGCCCACGCGGGAACCCGGCTTGAGGCCATAGTCGGCCAGCGGAGCCCACACGGTGGCACCGCCACACATCAGGGGGCCGGCGTACTCTGAGGCGATCTCCTCGGGGATCTTAAACAGTGCCGAGATATCCCAGGCGACAGCGGTGCCGAAGCAGCCTTGGTCAAGGTCGGCGGTGCCGAATTCCGTCTTGTTGGCGCACTGGTTCTGGCGGCCCGTCAAGCAGGCATCGCAGTGGCCGCAGAACTTGTGGAACCAGCTCATGCCGACGCGGTCGCCGACACGGAACTCGGAAACGGCGTGCACCATGGAGCCGACCTCGGTGATGACACCGATGCCTTCGTGTCCGAGTCCTTGGTCAACGTGGCGGTAGTGTTCGTCTGTGCCGCAGACTCCGCAGTGGGAGACCTTGACGATGACCTCGGTTGGTCCCGGGTCGCGGTGGCCTGTGGCTTCGACGATCTCGCCGCTTGCCGAGCCTTTGAAGACGGTGAAGTCGACACCCATTTTGGCCAAGTAATAGCTTAGTCTTTAGATGAGGAGTACGAGTAATGAAGTGTTGATATAAAGGGGTTAGGGAGTTGTCGATGGGTGAAATTTGAGTGTAGTGGAATGAAAAAAACTGGCGATTATTGCACTGTATTCCGGGGTTCTTATACTCGAAGTTTCGGCACCGCGAACGTCTTGATGATCCTTCGAAAAAGCTGCTTGATAATCGCCGCCGTTGCGTGAGTCGTGTAAGTCGTCTGTGTGCCCACCAAGGATGCTCCACTTTTGCCCGCAAACCACTCGGCACGACCCACTTCTGCCCGCAACTGCCCCACATATGCCCGCTGCGGTAAGATTTTGTGAAGCAACTTTATTTTCCCGAGCGCATCCACTCGATGTCCGATGATGCCCTCAAATCACCGCCGTCGTTGCACGGTACCCCCGGCATGCCCGCAGCAGCCCTCTTACACGCAGCTGACAAAACGATCCGCTCAAACGTCTCGAGATCTGCCCGGCCAATCATGCCCAAACTCGAGATGAAGGCGCTCGCCGTCGTCGTGTCGTCCCCGGGTCCCGCTGCTCTTTCGGGGGACTCCTCGCGGTCATCATAGAATTCCCTCGAGTACCACGCTCTCGCGGGCCGCGTCGACACAGGCAGCATGTCCAGCGCAACCGTTTCCACACACTGCCCATACCGAAAAGCTGTGTACAATGTGTACAACTTGAAGGCGATGAAGACGGTGCGACGGATGCTCTCCGCGAGGATCCACTTCTCCCAAGTTTGCTCTGTGACCGCTGCTGTTTGAGTTTCCTGCGCTTCTAGCTCCTCTACGTCGGTGATAGTATTATCCGCGGACCGGAGCAGCCGAAGGCCTTGCGCCCGGACGGCGTACGCCTGCCGCTCTGAAACCTCCCGCTGCTCAACGCCGCCGTAAAAGAGTCGGATGATCTGGTAGAGAACAAGGGCTTGAAAACGGGCTAGGTCATCGAGAAGCCACCGGTTGGCGGTACTGGCCCTGGGGGTAGCCAGGAGCAGGTCGTTGGTCTGAGCGTCGAGAGCCTGGAACAGGATGTGTCGGTTGTGGTCGTTGAGCGACGCACACCCGGCACTAATGCCAAACGCCGTGAGAAGCGGGCCAGGGAGCCTACCGCCCTGGAATAGCGCCTTGTGGATGAAGACGGTCTCGCCGCGGTCGGCAAAGGTGAGCGGGGATTCGCGGAGCAGATCGAAGACCCACGACATATGGTCGTATCCTGGGAGGTTTGACACAGGCTGGAGGCGACCTAGGTTACCGAGAGATCTGGGGGGCAGTATGTTGCACGGAGCTGTCCTCTTGCGGGAGAACGTTTTCGAACGCACAACGGCACGGCGAGCGCCACCGGCCTCCGAGTGGTCCGGCTCCGGGGACTGCCGCAGTGGTGGTGGGTATAGGTAGGTACAATCCTTGTTCCTTTGTCTGCATCTTGCGCAAACGGGGTGTGCCAGGTCGCATCTCCGCCGTTCCCGATAACAGGCGTCGCAAGATTGTCGGCGGAGTGACATGTTGCCTTGGTTGTTGAATCAGGCGTGTTTGAGAAAGAAGCAGCTGAATCGTAATCATTTCCAGCTGTCGATATTTTTGAGGTTGGCTTGCTGACAAATCTTGCAGCACGGAAGTGCATGATAAGAACCTCCTAGAGCGTCGCCACTTGTTGTGGAGCTCACCCATTACGTTAATCCGTAATACCACACCTGAGGCCACCGCCGAGTTCTTTAAAAACAATTTAGATGATTCTAGATACTTGGTTTTTCTTAACACCGTTGATGGGAATCTGATTCATATAGTACTTACACATGACTGTATGTAAATCCACCTTTCCACGGGGTGACCCGGTATTATCGCGATCGTTTTGTGGCCTGGAAATGGGTCGTTAACGGTTTAAGGTTAAAACGAGTCTGTTAAAGGAGAAACCTGGGGTTCCTCGCTATAGCCAGAAAAGCGACAGTCTAAAACAAATAGGTCAAGTCCAATCCATTGACATTCGGTCAAATATCAATAGATTTGATTAATTGACTCTTTTTCGTTATTTCACTTTCTGGATTTATTCTCTTTTGTCTTCTTTCATTTTTTCTGACTTATTCTTTTTGGTCTTTTTTCACTTTTGTAGAAAAGTGAATTATCCTGGGACTTGATCTGCCGCTTTTTTTGGCCAAAGCGAGGGTTCTCAGCCTTACTCAGAAGTAGCGAGGAGGTTGATGGCTTACCATAAGTCGAACAATAAAGTTTAGGTACCTTACTCCTGTTGAGATGCTGCATTGAATCTGTGTTGAATCAGGCTGGAGTCCTCCCATATTAGCCTCCCACTTCGCTCTCTCCCACTGCTCATCAATACCTGAAATGTATGGAGAATTAGTCGGGATTCATATCTAAAGAGAAGCAGGGGACGGGCTGTTACGCTCTGGTCAACATGGTGTTCGGCGTTGGAAAAGCTCCTGCCATAAAAGGATGATTGATGACTTCGGGTCGGTTAGGGTTGCTCGCTTGGAGTTGTCGCATCACAAACAGCGACCATGTCTGGGTAAAATATTTCCTTGATAGGTCTCAATTACTAACGATAACTGGAAGAAAAGGATGAGGACATCATTCTATTAGGTAGCCAAGTATAAATTAACGCCAACCCAGAACAAACGCCCCCATGCCTCTCAAGTTGATAAACAGAACTGAATGCAACATTCCATAACGACGTAGTCTGCAATCTGGTGGCGGCGTAGCTACCCCAACCACACGCTAGAGGCTGCTACAATTCCTGGTCCTCCCTTAACAAGGGGTATGGGCGCTTCGGGCCATGAATCCAGTGCGGATCTCGTTTGAAAACGTAGTCGAAAACGCCCCTGGGATTATTTTTGAGCCACACGTGTTGCTGGTGCAAATGCAAGTACATCGCCTCGATCAAGTCGTACTCCTCAATCCATAACCCAAACCACGAGCTCATCAAAACGGCCCGGTCGGACTCAGCGAGCCCATCGAGGAACTCTTTATACAAGTCAAATCGCCGTCGCAGTTCGGGTATTCGCGCGTCTGGTACATCGGAGCCGACATCGAGCCGTGCCTCCCCCGACTTGTCAAAGCCAAGCCCCGCAAGGTAGTCAGGTAGTCCATCTGCCTCCTTCTCCCCGGGGGGTGGCGGGTCTTGATGGTTTTGATAGTACCACCCTTGGCGCACCAATCGCCAGCCAAATAATAGTTGGTATTCGATTTTCCCGATGTGGACCGCCAGCTCGGACATGGCATGGTCGGTGAGCTCTTTGGCTAACAAGTCGACATCGTTGTGAATCCTGAGATGGCAGTGGTTGCAAACCAGGTCCACTCCGTCTAGCGGTACGTTGTGGGAGCCATGTCGAAGCATGCTCGTGCGGAATGCACCTGACAGCTGCCAGATCTGGCAAGACTTACAGTATATGACATAGAGGTTGACGTGTCGGATCGTGGTGGATTCTGCCACAGCTCGCCATGCCTTTGGTGAGTCGTGGGATGATGTGCGCCCAATTAAATCTGGGTACGTTTGGTCCTGAAAGGCTGGTATAAAGATGTCTCGGCTGATCACGATCTCTTTCGCTGAGCGACTGCGTTGGCGCAAGCAGTCGATGCATCTCCGCTTTAGGCGACTTATGCCGACAGACCATTGGCGCAGCCTGGCTTCGCTGCCGTTGTCGGGGACCGTGACCAGGACGAATGGGTGATTGGCCGCATTCTGTGCCACAGCGGCGCGGTGTTGTCTCGCAGCCTGAACTCGCCGCGCGCGTTCTTCAAACATTTTGGCAGTCCTTTCCTGAATTCTCACCCATCGGGCCGCGGGATCAAGAGGCTCCCACTCTGTGACGGCCATTCTTGTTGCTTCCACGCAATCTGGTGTCGGTTTGCGATAAGACTCGCGGAGGATGGCGTGGTTGTTGAATAGCATATGCGTGCGCAGTTTCATGCAACCGCAGCAGGCATACTTGTTGGCTTCCCACGCATCGCTGGTATAGGCTGGGATGGATGCTTGGATGTCCAAGTCGAAGCGTGGCACAATGCCGCCATGTTCCGGTGTCAGCTCGAGGGCTAACAGCCGCTGTTGGAAGTCGCGGCGGGTCGGCTGGATCAAGGCGCGCCACGACCGTGAGGTTTGCGAGAGCGCGATGAGGCTAATGGGGTCTAGGGACCGCACGACATCGCCGCAAAGCTCAACGGGTAATGTGAAACCGGGAAGTAGGGCCATATTGGGTTATCACGTTGTGTCAATCTTGTTTTGGAGGGTGGTGTTTCTCGGAGATGTGACGTTGATGCCCATCGGAGTGGGGGGCTTGGGGGGTTTGGGGGGTTTGCTCAGGTTTCCCCACTTTCTTTCGCCTTCTCCTCCCGCACGAGTCAAGACTAAATCAACTTCTGTTGTCCAGTTTCTTCTAGTTTTGCCTTTGCCGCAAGCTAGCATAGTGTAGTGTAGCGACGAGCAAGCAATTCGGGGGGAAAGCTGAAACCAAACCCGAGCAGCCTTCTTCTGCTGCAGAAGTCGAGATGTTGATCCTGAAAGCGGACGGTCTCGACCCGTCCCGTCTTGCAGCGCTGGCAGGCATCAGCATTCGACTGGCGTGGGTTTCTGGTTGCTGTGCCGCAGGGTGCCACAATTATCGACACACAGCCAATGAAATGCTCGGTTTGTCTGTGATTACTCAGGCCCCCGTCGAATGTGCCCCTGCTACGATCGGCGAAGCTTTCACGATGCGCCAGATAAAGCTCAAGCGCCGCCCGCAAACACCAGCGCTGGCTGTCGAGATGGGGCGTCGCGTCGAAGTCGAGATTGGCGCGCTGACGTGAGACCTAGACAAATAGGTCAGCCGCCGCGGCAGCATAAAAACAACGAGAATTCACCATCGCGAGTTTGGGGATCGTTGCCGGTTTTAATCGTGCTCAATTGTCTGCCAAGCCGTTGGAATTCCGCCTGCCTGACTTTGCTTCGGCCAACAATTCACAATGGACCCTCATCACGTTCAGCCCGGGCAGCCGGCGCCATACCACCACCTGGCCGACGCCCACCAGGAAAAGGCTGCGCAGTTTCAATACCAGCAACCGGTGTACGAACAGTACGGCGCCCAAGAACCGCCCAGGGGAGCGGCAGCAGAGCCAACAATTCTCAACATCACTCGCGGTGTCGCCCTCGCCGCGATTGGCGTCGTGATCTTCCTGCTTGTCACCGTCATTGGCCTTAGCGCGGGTCTCGGCGTGAGCCAGCGGGACCTGCATCAGGCACAGAGCGATTTGGGGGTCGCCCAGTCCGCACTGTCGTCGGCGAGGTAAGGACATGTGAAGAAATCCGCATGACACGGGAAATGGAGGCTGACTTGCCAATCAGTGCCGCGCTGGCGACCGCTATGATCGCACCATCTTCAACAACATCCACGGGGCCTTCTTCTACTTCCGCTTCCGCAACACCTACAGTAACGCCAGACCAGATCGACTGCCCCAAAGTCAACGGGACCTTCTACACAGCAAGCACGGGCGGGAAACAGTTCAAACGCCTCTGTGGAGTTGACTATGGTGGCCAAGGCGAAGCAGTGGACATTGGCCACGTCGATACGCGCAACCTGGACGGCTGCATCGACGCGTGTGCGGCCCGATCGAACTGCACCGGTGCCGGGTGGGGAGTCATCAAGGGGGATAAGGGGCCGCTGCACTCGTGCTGGATGAAAACGAACTTGACCAAGTCGCACAACGCCACGTCGGATTGGGCCTTTGCGGTGTTGGTGAAGGACAACTAATTGGGTACCTCGTAGCCGGGCAGGTTTAGCTGGAATAGAAGCGTGTTTCGCATGTTGGTTCCTGAGAAATCCCCATGTCCGCTGCGTGCCACAACAGCACGGAAAGGGGGCGCAGGGGCCGGGACGAAATGTGATTGTACAAAGTAGTGTATGACATATGCACATATCCTCTGTGGCGTCGGCGAGACTCTCCTTCATCCGTGCACATTTGTCCATTCCGGCCCCTTGGTTGAGCCGCCGGGGTGGACGTTGCCGTCTTTCGGGATGCAAAGCACTGACGCAGAGAGACTGGTGTCGGTTGTGTCACCCATTTCATGGAAACCCGGTTTTGAGGATTGCCTCACGTTTTGCACGTTTACCCCTGGCAAAGCCCCCTCGCCCCGTCTCACCGTCAATGTCATCGTGCGAAGAGTGTAATTTCTTGACACGGGCCAGGTCCAGCCTGGGAAATGGCCCACGACTGGGGATCCTGGCCCCTTGCCTGAATCGTCTTGCTGGCGCCGTTATTGGCCCAACTTCCTCCTTGTTTCTGTGCCATCCAATGCACTTTTTCTGGAACATGCAAGGGTACCGTCGAGCGAGTGCTTTTTCCCCAGGAATTTCTTACGCTCGGGCCCTCGCCTAAGCCCACTTTGCGAGTTCATGCAGCTCAGCAGTGGCCCGAGCTCGCCAAGCTCGGGGCAGACGAGCGATGCACGGCCCACGGACCCGAGAAATTCTACTTGCTCCACAAATGGTCTTCTAGACCTACACTAATGCTACTAGCTTTTCACCAACATTCCTTCAAACGAGAGATTCATCTTCAGCCGTCGCAAGGTACCACAAGACTGGGCGAAAAGTCCAGGTCTCGTTTGACACAGCCGGTTTTGTGTTTACACACTACCTGCTGGAGAAATTGCGACGTTTCCTTTGACAAAAATGCGGGTGGGTCCGCCATGCCCAACCCCGGATCGGCGTCCCTGCTTCCCGAATTTTGAACCCCTCACCTCCGGCAGGGCCGAGCCTGCCTGCCCGTGATTCGAAGCCGAGGCGAAGTCGAGTCTGAGACAAGCCAGACAATCACTCCAACCAAGTTCACGAGAAAACCGACGACTCCCAACACATTTGACGACACTAACCCCTTCACAGCGTATTCACAGCGTATCCAGTAGTTGACCAACCGTGCGTCGCAGGTGCCAGTGTGCCATCCCCTGGCCCCTTGCAGACCGTCGGCTGCTGACCGCATGGGGCACAGCACTTTTTGTGAGGATTGGCCAATTCGTCTTTGCGCTAGAGTTTTCCACTTGCCAGTTTCCGGCTGTCATTGACAACCGCGCGATCCCAGTTGTCCCAGCAGAGAGAAGAATCGTCGCAAGTGGTCTTTGGGGCGAATCCTTCCCAAAGAGGCCCCACGGCACAATCTCGACCCAGCCATCTCGTCCCAAGACGTTCCAACGAGCCGTCGAAACAAGAGCGGAGCGATTGGCTGCCTTGGCTGCGCTGCCTTCTCTTGCATTTTGCCATTTTAACCACCCGGAGCTCGCTGCGATCGACGCGGGCGAGCACGTCAACGTGCAGCGGAGCTGGCCTTCGCTTGTGGGCAAGCGAAAGTGCGCTGAAGACAAGAGAAATAACGAAACAACATTTTTTTGACACGAACGGCGGCTTCGGGACGACAACCTGATCGTGCTGACCTGACGTGGGCACGGACGAACAAACAAGTGCTGGACTTTGCACAGTCGTCCAATGTGGGATGCTTGTCGCGTGTCGATCTGTCTCTGCGGGGAAGTGAACCACAGCGGTTCTTGGCTAGCAAGGGGAAGCTTCCCCCAGGCTTCCACGAACGGCCGCCCTCAATGGCGGCCCCCTGGTGGTTCGAGCTGAACTGGTTAGTGTACGAATAGTTTGTTCTCCAAACACTGGGTCGATGCTCGGCAGGTGAGTTGTTGCAATGGCGGCCCAGACGCAGCCATCACGCTCATCGCGGGGAATTTTCCCCGCTTCATGTGTTGCTCGTCCGTGGCGATAGCCGCAGCCGGCTCGGGGACGGTTGTCCGTGACGCCGTTTGGGGTGTCGCGCCAAGGGTTTTGACAAGTTGGTGCATCGAGGAGGGTTCCATCGGCCATTCTTCATCCTGCAGCGCCACCCCGGACTCTTCCCAGTTCGGTCCACTTCCCACCCGGACAGGGATGGGGACTTCCAACTGACACACTGTCACCTGGGGGCCGCCCTGGCACCCCAGGCCTTACTGGAACTTCTCTGTGGGTTCCGGGGAAGCTGGTTGCTTTGCCTCGCTTGTTATTAACTGCCATCCATCCCCTTCCCGGGGGCCATCTTGTGGTGTTGATTTTGCTTTGCCAACTCTCCCGGACCAACCGCCGACCCCGGACTGCAACCGGACCGCCGACAGCTCGACGACAGATTCACAAGCGAGGAGGGAACGGGTGTGTCGGTCGCCGCCATGTCGTCCAAGGTCAGACCAGACTCCGCGTCGGCGGACTACGACGATGTCGACGTGCCCCGGTTCCAGCGTGTGTACTGGACCCGGGAGCCCCATCTGCGGAAGCTGTATGGCATGGCTGTGATTCTCATGGTGGCCTCGGCCACGACCGGGTACGACGGCATGCTTGTCAACACATCGCAGCAGATCGATGCCTGGAACTACTTCTTCTTCCCCGAGCTCAAGGACAACAAGGACCTTAAGGATCCCATTCTCGACAGCAAACTCGCCATCCTCGTCAACATGTTCAACATTGGGTCCATCGTCTCGTTTTTCATCACGCCGTATGTCGCCGACAACTACGGCCGACGTCCTGCCATTATCGCTGGCTGCTTGTTCATGATTACCGGCGGCTTCTTGACGGCCTTTTGCAACGGTTATGGAAGTGAGTGAACCGTGTCATGCTGGCATGGTCCGGTGCGTCAACTAACCCCGAACAGTGTACATGGGTGGTCGTTTCGTCCTTGGCTTTGGCAATTCTCTCGCCCAAATGGCCTCCCCGCTGCTGCTGACAGAGATCTGCCATCCGCAACACCGTGGCCCGGTCACAGCCATCTACAACTGTTTGTGGAACGCCGGCGCGCTGCTTGTCTCGTGTATCGCCTGGGGCACTGCCAATATCCAGGGGAGCGGCTCGCTCGACTGGTCCTGGCGTTCTATCACGCTCCTCCAAGTTCTCCCATCGCTCATCCAGCTCATAGGCATCTGGTGGATCCCCGAGTCGCCGCGCTTCCTTGTCAACAAGGAGCGTCACCAGGAAGCTTTCGACATCCTCACCAAGTGGCACGCGGGCGGAAACCCTCACAATGCGACCGTGCAGTTCGAGTTCCGCGAGATCCGCGAGACCATCCGGATCCAGAAGGAGACGGAGCGGTCGACTAGCTACCGGGATTTCCTGCGCACGCGTGGCAACCGCTGGCGCCTGGCCATCATCATCTCTCTCGGCGTCATCTCGCAGTACAGCGGTAACGCCCTCTTCTCCAACTACATGAATGCCATCTACTTGGGCGCCGGCATCGACAGCCAGAACCAGAAGTTGGCTATGTCCACCGGCAAGACGCTGCTCGATCTCTTCGTCACGGTTGCGGCGGCGCTCAATGTCGATCGCTACGGTCGCCGCCCGCTATTCCTTATTGCTATGGTCGGCATGGTGTTGTCCTTCGTGGCGTGGACCATTACTGGCGCGATCTACGAAAACTCGAGCGAGCTCAACGTGCAGGCCGGCTACGCACAGCTCGTCTTCATCTGGATCTTTGGCATCTTTTACGATATCGGTTTCTCAGGTCTGCTTGTGGCGTACGCGCTAGAGATCCTGCCGTTCCACCTCCGTGCCAAGGGCATGATGATTATGAACATCACTGTGCAGGCCGTGCTGGCCATTTCCAAGTGTGTTCCACCCTCCGTTCCCTGCCTTATGACGAGAAACTTGATGCTAACTACCGTAGCCAAACCAACAAACTCGCATGGGAACGACTCCCGCATCACTGGCATTTCATGCTGTTCTACACAATCTGGGATCTCTGCGAGCTTGTCTTTGTGTGGTTCTTCTACGTGGAGACTAAGGGGCCGACGCTCGAAGAAATTGCGCGCATCTTTGACGGCGATGGCGCGGTCGGTCACGTTGACATGCACGAGGTGCAGAAGGATATATTTGCCATGGAGGACCGTCAACATCACGAGCACGAGCTGCCTGGGCGCGCTATGTAATGGGAGGGGTTTGACTTTGGGAGTCTGGCGCTGGTTCTGTTTGCTAAGATACCACTCATGATTATGATATGCTTTTCCATGACTCATTCCTGTGCTGCTATGATGCGACTTGACAATGTGACTCTGAGGATGACAAGTTCTTCCCAAGATATAAGATTGCTATGATGGCTGATATTCCTCCTCGCCAGCTTTACAGATTCCCCTTTAATCCCCTTTCATGATGGCGTTCCCTACCTCAACATTATGCTGACAATTACTTCTCCTCAGCCTGCTTCTTGACCTCCCTGCCCAACCGCGAATGTTGACTGCGCCAACCTCGGCCCGACGCGTCCACCAGAGTGCGCACCCACTCATCCGTCCCCGTCGCCTCATTCCGGATCGCCGCGTTCCCCGTCCCCATCAGCGTCGGCTGCATGTTAAGGTAGATGGACTCGTAAGCACCTTTGGGCACGCAAAACGCCTCGTGAAAGACACCGATATGCTTATATCCCTTGGCCGTGCACTCCTTCTCATACCACTCCCACGCCCGGCGATGGATAGGATCATGCGCGAAGCGATTCAGCCCCTCGAGATCGCGGAAGTAAAACACCGACAGGAACATGTTGTGTGAGGATGCCTCGTTGCCCTTGCAGGTCGTCATGCCCAGACAGCCGAGTTCTTTCGCTCGGTCTAGGATGTCTTGGTTGCATGCCATCCCCTGCTCATCTAGGCCCTTAGCCGCGGGCGAGAAGGGGCCGAGCGGGTGGTTCAGGCGGGCGCCGATGAGGAAGACTACGACGTTCTCACCTGCCGGGGTCGAACCGAAGATGGAGGAGGATTTTTCGTTGGTGCGGAGCGGGTCGTAACTAGCTTGGGGTAGTTGGGCGGAGGTGCGTCCTGGGATCACGCCGCGTTGTTGGGTGATGTAGTGGTCCAGGGATGTCAGTTGGCGGATGGTTATGACGGCAGCGCGCAGGAGGATGAGGGCGGCTGGGAGGGAGGCGTAGCGGGCTGGGAGGACGAGAAATAGGAGGCTTTGCACGGCGGCACCCAGGGTCATCAGCGTGGGGAGGGAGAATGAGTCTTTTATGAGACTGTGCTTGGGATGTTAGCTGCGTGCGTTGAGAACATGGTAGATATAGTCTCAAGTCTGGGCACTTATCAAGTGGTCTGGGCGCCGCTGCCGGAGCGGCTTTTCGGCAGGTGGGAAGATCGGAGTAAACGGAGCTGGCGCCATGTTATTTATTTTGTGTGAAGAGCCTTTGTTTCGGGATCGAAAAGGGGGTGGTTAGCTCGAGGGGGGCTAACGTCTCTTATATCCGTGCAACGGCCTTGGTGTTGCACCGCAGCGGAATCACTCTTGCCCAATTGGGCGGTGTTTGTCTTTTTTTACGCGAGTGCGAGTATGCGAAACGGAGTCAACAACAAGAAGGATCCTCAAGGAACGTCCGTGATTGGGCCAAGTCCGTCCTTCGTCCACACCTCGGCTCGTGAGATGTCCCGATTGCTTTGCACTGCCCGTTTGCTGGGCGGCGCCGTGGTTTTTAAATACTGATCGATTGCATCGATGGATTCCAAACGCGCGTCCCACGTAAGCACTTGCGAGAAGAGTCGCAAATGCCGCTGCGGGCCGAGCGGTCGCTAAGATTTACTTATGTGGGACGTGTACGGAGACGTGTGCACTTGGCGGTCAGGTCAGGAGAGCCGAATCAGTCGATTGCAGATCGATTTTAGTTGAACTTGAACAACGACACGTATCTCGGCTGAGCACATCTTCCAAGACACCAATAAAGACGAGCCAACTCCCTGGTTCGACTGATGTTGATGTTATCTATTGTTTTTGAGCAATGCGACGGGCGACCGAATCCACGAAGCTTGGCAGAGGTTGAGACCCCAAAACAGAGTTAATGCCAGAATGGGAATCGATGGGAAGTGAGTTTCTTATTTTCGGCCTAAGTCAGCCTGTATTTAACGAGCAAAAGATCTTCACGCAATTTAAGAGCGTCTCGCCCAGATTTATAAGTGTGTGCACATGTAAATTAACCCTACTGAAGGTTATGTTAAGATCTTAAGTCATACAACTAACTACCTTGGGAACCACAGCACTATCTACACTACAGATGAATGAATCGCCCAATCCTCCTCATTAACGGCCGAATAATAACCCTCTCCCAAGAACCCCGATCCGATTACACTCCCAGCTCACACTCGCCAGCTTATGACTACGCGTTAATTACTTCCCTGGCCTCCATGAATCCACTACCTGGGGCTCTCACACCGGAGCCTGAGCCACCCGATCTCCATTCGACACACCAGTGGTCGTACCCGGGACAGCTCCGCCCGTCGTGCCTTGGGTCGTACCAGTGGTGGTGCCAGTAGCATTGGTCAGCGGCCGGTCTTTTTCCGGGTCTCCGCCTCCGTGCACGGCGCCGTGTTGTTGGTTCTCCCGGCGATAGCTGGCCCACATCAGGGCCTCTTGGATGGTGTTGAAGAGGAGAAAGACGCTGGTCTTATGTTAACAAATTGGGAGACTGCCAACGGTGAAGTGGATGACTTACAATCCGATGATGTGGAAGGCTTGGACAGTGTGCTTGAGGCCGCAGTGGCGGGTGGTGTTAGGGGAGAAGTAGCGGCACCGGTTTCCCGCGTAGTCCTGAGACGAGAAGATCAGGGAGGTGAGCCATAGGTAGGTTAGGGCCATGTTAAGCGGCAGCAAGTATCCGCGGTAGGACTTGAGGGCCGGGAGGACCATGGCGATGAGGTAGATGAATAGCGTTAGGACGGCCTGGGATGAGTGTTAGCGAGAGGGCTTTCGGTTGACAGGTGATTTCTTGCGCAGACTTACGATGACTTCATTGTACACCAGGTGCGTCCCTCTGTCGCGCCAGTGCCGCAGAAAGTACGACAGGATGCCTGTGATGATCACAGACGAAGCGAGGATGATGAAGTTGTTGGCACTCAGTAGGGTGCGCGCAATGCGCCCGTTGAAGAAATTGCCGATGGTGTTCATGGTGGCGGTTGTGCAGACACAACCAAGACTGGACAGAAAAGATGAATTGACAAGAAAAAGATGGAGGCGGGCGAGAAGCTAATCATCTCTGCTTGTTATATCTCTATCCCGAAGCTCGTCGTCTGTATTTTGTGCACGGCCTGAGCGCCGGACCTGCATTGTTATTGGCATGGTGCATTGCATAGGCGCTGTGCGAGTCAGATGTACAGGCCCGAGCGGTCTGGCTGGCAAGCTCATGACGTTGGGGCAGTTCTAAAGAGGAAATCAGCTATGGTCAAGGTGGCATGATGACGGCATTGAAGCTGTTTCCTCTTAGGGGATCCTTGTTGGTGTTTATAGGGCACGGAGTTGTTTTCCGATGTTTGGTGTTGTGGTTTATGTTACGGATGAGCTTTGCATTGAATGCCGACGTCATGACCGTTGGCCGGCAGCGTGTGATATGTTTATTGTTCAATAGTGCCAAGCTTTTACAGTGGCCAGCTATTTACGGTCTCGCGATGCAGCTATTTTGAATCGAGAAAATGGAGTGATTCTGATGAGTTTCAACTTTCTCTGTGGTAATACTGTGTGTTTTAGACGGTTCGCTGTGGCCCAAAAAGTGGCAGACTAAGTCCCTGGATAATTTACCTTTCTACAAGAGTGAACGAAGACAAAAAAGAAGAAGTGCAGAAAGTGAAAAAAAGACGAAAAAGAGTAACTCAATAAAAATCTGTCAGGATTTGATCGAATGTCGATGGATTAAACTTCAGCTATCTGTTTTAGTCTGCCGCTTTTTTGGGCCACAGCGAGGACCGCTCGTTATAGCCAACCTTTCGAGATAAACACTTAAATGTAACGATGTGTAATGTATCCGTACGAAGGTAGAAATGAGCGTCATTCCAAGTCTATTTCTAGCTCTCTCATTCGACCGCCTCGTGAAACTCGGAAGGACTTCGCGAATGCCTTGGAAGCCTTCTAGAATGTCCCGGCATTCGGTTTCGGCACGTCAACGGCCGGGCGGAAACAACCCCCGGAGGTCGATTCTCCCAGTGAACTCCGTGTTTCCATTTCCGGCCAAGGGACGTGACATTTATACCCACGAGGCGTGGAGCCGGCCGGTACCGCGGTTGCTGCCGATCCGGTTAATACCACAACGAAACACAAAATGCGGAGAGCGTCGCGATTGGATTTCTCCGCGCGTCCCTTGAGGATCGTCCCGGCTAAAAGCTGCCTGCCCCTGGCTATGCATGCCTCACGTCACGTTATTAAATAAAGTCGAAGGGCCTGTGTTTGGTGAACTTGTGAAGAAACACCAGCTGGAGTCAACAACGTACACTCTTTTTCGCACAACCATACAATTCCACCATGTCGCGGATGGCCAGACTCCTCGCGGGGGCAGCGGTTGCCCCGGGCGCGCTGGGCACCTCGCTCATTGCGTCGCACTTTTCCGGCACCCTCTACTCCTTGTCGCTGGCGACCGCCGACTCGACCGGCACTCTCACCGTGACATCCCAGGCCACCGGCTGCGGGCTCACGCCGGCGTGGATTGAGCTGTACTCGGACACCAACACCCTGTACTGCTTCGACGAGTCGTGGACCGGCTCCGGGTCCAGCGCCGAGTACAGCATCGGAAACGACGGCTCGCTTTCGTTGACCGGCAACCTCAAGACCGGTGGTAACACCGTCCACGGCAAGTTGTATGGTGGGGAGGACGGCAAGGGTTTCGTGGCGACGGTCGAATAGTACGTTTTCTTGTCCCTTTTCGAGTTTGTAAGAGCTTCCCCCGACAGTCGGAGAGACAGACTGACACAAATCGACAGCACCCCCTCGACCCTCACAACCTACAAGATGCCTGTGTCCGACGGCGAGGTGGTGAAGCTGGAAAAGTTCACCATGAGCGAGGCTGGCCCCAACCCCCGCCAGGACGTGCCCCATCCTCACATGGCGCAGGTGGACCCGACCGGCAAGTTCATCCTCACGCCCGATCTCGGCGCCGACCTGGTGCGCATCTTCAAGATCGACGCCACCACGGGTGAGCTCACCGCGTGCCCCGAGGGCCAGGCCGGTGCCGGCGACGGTCCGCGCCACATCGAGTTCTGGGAGTCCGCCGACGGCCTGCAAAAGGCGTACGTCGTCAACGAGCTCGGCAACTCGGTCAGCGCTTGGGATGTCGCCTACCCGGAGGACGAGTCCGGCTGCCTCGCGCTCAACATCACCCAGACTCTGTCGACCTATGCGCCGGGTGAGTCAGGCGGCCCCAACACCAAGGCTGCTGAGGTCCGCATCGTCGACAACTTCCTGTATGCCACGAACCGCGCCGATGAGACGTTCGGCTCGGAGCAGGACTCGATCGCCACGTACACCATTGACCCCACTACGGGTGAGCTGGCCTGGCTCGAGGCCGCCAACTCGTACTCGTACTACCCGCGTACGTTTGTGTTTAACAAGGATGCTACTCTTCTCGCGGTTGGCGGTCAGACCTCGTCCAACGTGGCTATCATTGCTCGCGACCCAGAGACTGGCAAGCTTGGCGACCTCGTGGCTACCCTGGATGTTGGCCAGAAGGGCCGTGCCGGGCAGGAGGATGGGCTGAGCGCTGTTGTTTGGGTGGAGTAAGGCGGTGACCTTTGTCTGTATTTTGATTACCAGTTGATCGCAGAGTAGCATTAGGTAGAGCTGCCGTAGTAAATACCTCTAGTGAATCACTGTTTTCATCGTTTCTTACTCTCAACCAAGGCACATCTCTGGAAAAATGGCACTTGAAGATGTCCTGCAATCTCTTTGCACTATACTATACCAGGGGCAAAACACTGAAGGAAACAGAGAAAAGTTGGGATGGTTTTGGGCCATACAAATACCAAAGATTGCAACGGCGGTCTTGAAAATTAAGACGAATGCAAACCGCTAACTATCACACAAACAAAACAATCCCATGCTAACGTCTCAAAATAGGCTTCCAGTGCTTGAGATACACTAAAAGTTATCGTGGTCGGAAGAGATAGGAAGAAATGACATGAGGAAGAGAAGACTTCATGAAACGGTGAGCCAATGAGCGTCACCTGTGTTGTTTGATTTGGCAAGTGGGGCATCTCGTGCATGCGCCACCACTGTCCCCTGGAACTCCAAGCATGAGATTCTCGGTGTCATAACGTCACTGGCATGATATCTTCCCAGAAAGAGTTCGTGAGAGAGGCATGGACGTACCTACCTAATTGCCTTGTCAGGGATGGAACGTCATCAAAAGGATGGGACCCACAAACAACGTGGAAGGCGTGGTAGAGAAATTACTTGGTTTGGGATGAGCTTGACTTCTGCATCCCGTATGACACGCCTTGGGGCGCGCTCTTTCAACACCCTTTGACTGTTGGAAAGTTAAGGCTATAGAGAATATTGACTACAATAATTTCCCACGCCCGCCTCGATCCGAATTTCTTCTTCTACCAAACAACCGTCAAGCTTGAAAAGGTAAGTCAGTCACCCACCCGTCTCGCACAGTTACTCGACTAATTAAGTAATTAATTAATGTGCTGTAGCCGACACGATGGATTGAAACAACACTTCCAACGAAGACCTGCCGGCCCCCGAACGAGATTCACACACAATTAATCGGGATCATCCGGCGTCTACGTCAAGCGACACCATGGCTCGCGAAAATAGGCCTGGTGGTACATCATCCGACCCGCAAGCTAAAAAGCATGGGTACGAGGGCTTCGATCAGGAAACGGAAACCGGATTTATTTCTACCAACATCGACGATTTTGAGTGGTCTCAGCCTCACTCCGGGTCCACCGGGGAACCAATGAAGCTGCACGAGATATCTAGTGAAGAGCTGTTTCGAGAGCCCCCGGCCGCAGTGGAAGCGCAATCGGGGAGAGTCAACTGGGTGGCTCGGGATCTCGACTGCGGGGAGTCCATTACATACAACATAAAAGGTGTGGCTGACCGCCGCGCTCTTGAGGCGCTGGGCGCTACGATTCTTGTGTTGTGCAAGCGGCACGACACGCCGGTCTTCAACATCAAGCTTGGTCTCGAGTCGGCTGGCGTCGTCAATGACAACCGACTGCGAAGTGAAGGGGCACGATCCCAACTCGCGGCAGCTGACAGCCAGACAACCGCTGCGGCCCAGGCACACCCTACTTCGGTACCGGTATCTGGTGTATCGGCGCCAACCCCTGCTGCATCAGCATACCTCATTAACCTTACTACCGCCGAACTTGCTGCTTTAGTACCCCCTAATATTAGCGCTAGCGACCTAGAGGTTCCCGGCGTCCCGTCTTTGAGATGCGCCAACTGTCATTGGCCTGGGCACGCCTTTCTGCGTCCCCTTATACCTTCTCTCAGTCATGGTAGCGTAACCGGTTGCCCGGAGTGCAATCTCAGGAACCACAACCTGGACGATTGCCCGGTGTTACTGCAGCTACCCAGTACAAGTGCTTTCGGAATACCAGCCCCCCATGTTCTAGATGTGGTGTACTCCGAACGGTGCAACATGCCGCAAATCTATTCCGATAGACATCTCTTTTTCGATGAGGTGCATGCCATCAACGAGCAGCACAAAATAGACGCCGCGGAGCTCAACAAACCACGCAACTGGCCGTGGACAAATGCATTTGCGAAGGAGGTTGCAAAGGCAAAGCCTGGAGACCCTATTTTGCAGGGCAAGCTGCAGCCTTGGGAATTTGATCCGGCTAAACATACATACCATGATCTGCCGGTAGACCCGACTTTGCGGAACATATCTATCAACGACATCCTCGCGATGCGTCGTCTGGGGTTGCTCGACACCGAGCGGCCCGAGCCTGGTGCGGGACGGATCCGTGAACCGGACCATGGGCCTTAGTGCAAACTTAGGCAAGGAGACAGGCGGGGCGGCGACAACTCGAGAAGGATTCTGCCAGCTCAACTCCGACTCTGAGCCGCATGATGCAGCTACATCTGCTAAAACACGCTGCTTTCCAGCCACCCCCGAAGGTCTCGTTGTACTCTTTTGCAGAGGGGAACCAAGACGTGACGATACGGCCGCGACCACCTCCGAGGTTGCTAACAGTGCGGGTGCATTTACGGTTGTGTTTGGGCATGTTTATTTCGGTCGTAACCAGCGTTGGCGAGTAGTCAGGAAGTATCGCCCCGGTGCTGGTGTGAATGAGGACTTATGAGGTTGGAGAGGCTCGTTTATACCCCGGATTCGAGGTTGTCCTGGCCGTCTTGTATCGTTGTTAGTGTAGGTAATCAGGTATCGAAAGCAATTGATGGCCGTTCTGGAACTGTTTCCCATGTGGAGGTTTCTGTCCAAACTAATTAATTCTAACTACACCCAAATCCAACGTCTAGTCGTTGGATCGTATGACTGAAAGGGATTGCGAGGTTCCTGAGATGTAGTGGCCCATGGAGGCATGGCCCCGCTCAACTTGGGGGCCGAAACGACGGAAACTTGTAATTAGATTTCGATCAAGTCCCTGATCGGTTTGTTGAGCCCGCTCATCCTCAAGCTATTTTGGCTGCTAATATGGGGCATCCTCAAGCTGAGAGTTGGAGAGCGTTTTTTATAGAAAAAGAAAGAAAGGAAAGTGGGTTTTCTTTTTTTTTAAAAAAAAAGGGGGGGAAGGGGGGGGACGAAGTTCCTCTGGGGGGTGTTCATCATTTATCCATCGATTCACCTCGACTTCGAAGAGATTGAGCACTTCGACTTCAGAGAGGCTGAGCACCTCAACTTCGAAGAGGTCGACGACTTGACGCGTCACCAACACGACACAAGCGAGTGATTAACCCCGACTCCATGTCCGAAGGATCCAGCTTCCCCACTCGGGCACATGGTCTTAGCAGACGATATCCCCGCATTTCATGCCATTCTGGGCTCGCCGCTCTCCCCCGACTGGCCGGCCGATTTCTCATATTAAGCCAGGAACAACTTTAAACTTAAATCCCTTCAGACCCTTCTCGAGTCACATCCTTAATTCTCCGAAACTAAGTAGTTACATTTTCCCTTCTTCAACACAAACACAAGAAATACAACCACCGCCCAAAATGTCCACCAACCCAGAACCCACCATCGACACGGCCTTCCCCGCGGCCATCGCCGCCGGCCAAATCAACGGCGCCGTCCTCCTCGCAACCAACACCGACGACACCTTCAACTACACCGCCGCCCTCGGCCAACGCACCCTCCTCTCCGGCGAAAAACGTCCCCAACAGCTCGATGACATCCTCTACCTCGCGTCCGCCACCAAACTTCTCGCCACCATCGCCGCGCTGCAAGCCGTCGAGGACGGGTTGCTGACGCTTGATGATGAAATACCCTCCACTATCGCCCCCGAGCTAAGCGCGTCAAACTTGACCGTGTTGAACAAAGACGCGACGGAGACCGTGCCGGCCGAGCGGGGAATCACCCTAGCCATGCTGCTCACCCACACCTCCGGGATCAGTTACGATTTCCTCGTCCCGCGCCTGTCCAAGTGGCGACAGGAAAACGAGCCCCCTTTGGCAGAGGACGCGCGCCGACCCGTCGAGGAGGCGTTTCGGTACCCGTTGGGGTTCCAGCCGGGGACTGGATGGATGTATGGGCCGGGATTGGACTGGGCGGGGAGGATTGTGGAAAGGGTTCGCGGGGAGACGTTGGGGGAGGCGGTGCGGAAGCGGATTACGGGCCCGTTGGGGATTGCGGAGGAGGAGGTGCAGTTTTATCCGGTCAAGGGGGAGAAGGTGAGGGAGAGGATGGTGGATTTGAATGAGCATGATCCGGAGGGCTTGGGACAGGCGGTTACGGGGAGTCCGGGGTCGCCGAACAAGAGGAGTCAGGGGGATTTTGGGGGGCATGGGGGGTTTATGAGTGGGGAGGGGTATATTAAGCTCTTGCGGGCGTTGTTGAAGAATGATGGGACCCTGCTTCGGCCGGAGACGGTTGAGTCTATGTTTCAGAACCAGATCCGGCCCGAGGCTGAGGTGAATTTCCAGGCTACGTTGAACGGGCCGGCCGGGGGGTTCTTTCGGTTGGGGGTGGATGCTGGGAAGAAGCTGGGTCATGGGTATGGTGGGCTGCTCACGTTGGAGGATTTGGATAACTGGTATGGCCAGCACACGCTGACTTGGGGTGGAGGGTTGACGTTGACATGGTTTGCGGATCGTAAGACTGGCTTGGCTGGGTTTTGTGCTGTCCAGGCCTCGCTGCCGTTGCCGATTGACGTGCCGGCAGCCACGGAGCTGAAGCAGGTCTTCCGGCGGGATGTGTTCCGCAAGTATGCCGCGTCAAAGCTGTAGTCTCTCTCTCTCCCTCTCATAGGTCCGTTTTGTGGCTAGTTTGGGAGTTCCTGTTGAACGAAGATTCCAAATGTCTCCCCTGCCGGGTGTGCCTTAACGCCTACCAATGTCACGTTTGTAATGGCCATGTTGATCCGCAGGATCAATATCTCCGGATGCAAGCGTTCGGATTGCGTTGGTGCCACCCACTATCCACTCCAAGGGTGCCATGGTTCCCCAATTTTGCATCATTCCTACGAACGGTGTCTGACAAATCAGACTGGTGGTTTCGGAGCAACGACGCGGGGCTAATGGCACAACACGATGATTTATAATTGCACGAGTATGTCATGAGCGACTTTCAAGAAGCTTAAATACACAGTCTTCCATCTTCTAGTTTACAGATTTAAGAATTGACTATTCAGCGTCAGTATCGCGACCCAATCTCAAGCACACTTCCCCATATCAAACCCTAACCCTCACACCCCTTTACACCCCCACGTGACACCCATCATGGCCACCCCCCGCACCCGCGTCGCCCTCGTCGGCCTTTCCTCCTCAGCCAAAACAGCCTGGGCCTCCCGCGCCCATCTTCCCTATCTCCTCTCCGACCGCGGCCGCGACCGCTTCGAGATCGTCGCCCTCCTCAACTCCTCTGTCGCCGCCGCTGACGCCGCCATCGCCGCGTATGACCTTCCCCGCGACAAGGTCCGCGCCTATGGTGACCCGGCCAAGCTCGCGGCTGATAAAGAGGTCGACTTGGTGGTGAATACCACCCGCGTTGACAAGCACTATGAGACAGTGATAGATAGCGTGAAGGCGGGTAAGGATGCATTTGTGGAATGGCCGCTGGCGCAGGATGCGAAGCATGCGTGGGAGTTGGCGGACGCGGCCAAGGTTGGTGGGGGCAGGTCGGTTGTCGGCTTGCAGGGCGTGACGGTGCCGTTGGCGAAGCGACTGAGGGGTTTGTTGGAGGAGGGCAAGATTGGCAAGGTGTTGAGCGTGGATGTTAAGGGGTATGGTGGCTTGGGTGACCGGGCGAAGGTGCCTGACGGACTGTCGTACTTTACCGAGCGGGCCGTCGGTGGCAATATTTATACCATTGGCTTTTCGCATTGTGAGTGGCCTTTGGTGGACGGAATGGATCGGAAAACATCCTTGCTGACTTCAAGCTAGTGCTCAGCGTGATCGAGGCGTCCATCGGCGACCTGGCCTCCTTCCGCGGCGACTACCACCTCCAGCGCCCCGAGGTCGAGATCGCCGACGGCGAGGGTAAAGTCGTCGGCAAGGCCACCAGCAACGTCCCCGACCTGATCCTCGGCCTCGGTCGATGGGGCGAGTCCTCCATCACCCAGGCCAACGCCCCGCTGCACTACCGTTTCCGCCGCGGCCCGCCGTTCCCCGGTGATTCGGCCCTCGTTTGGACGATTCAGGGCGAAAAGGGCGAGATTCGCATCGTTTCGCCTCAGTCGACCTTTGTGCACATTGGTGACCCTAACGCGCCCCAGGTCATTGAGGTCCACAGCTTTGACACCAACGAGGTGGAAAAGGTTGAGTGGGACTGGCCGGAGTGGCAGAAGGAGCTGCCGTACCCGGCTCGCGCAATCGGTGCTGTTTATGAGTCGTATGCGGCTACAAAGGCCTCCGGGGCTGAGCCGAACCATTTGACGTTTGCGGACGCTGCAAGGCGCCACGAGTACCTGGATAATGCCTTGGCCGAGTGGAAGGACTGAGAAGTTCGCCGTCGGGGTAAAGTTTGTCACCGGCAAACTGCAGGTGTTTTCCCCCGGGGGTGATGTTGGGTTTTGCTCATAACTTACTTTTCTACAAAAATGAAAAAAAGATTAAAACGAATAAATGAAAAAATGAAAGAAAACAAAAAAGCATAATTAGAAAGAAAGAAAGAAGACCAAAAAAAAAAAACTCTAAAAAAAGCCAAAACAACAAAAAGGTGAATCAATCAAAATATGTTGAGATTTGATCGAATGCCACTGTATTGGACTGAGGGTAACTATCTGTTTTGGTTTGCCGTTTTTTTTTGGCCACAGCGAGCCAGGACAAGCTATCGGAGAATCAGCTGCGATCAAAGAAACTGGTATGCTTGCGGGATGGTGTTTCAAAAATGTTTCCGGAAGATCTTTGTATGTATGACAAAAGACAATCGTCAATTGCCACAGCAATTGCTGCCCCTTTCTACTTGTGACCGTATGCTAGCTTCAGGAGAGCTGGTGAACTGGTCCTGCAATTCTGGGTATCTAATGTTACGACACGATCGAGTTTCTATGCCCGCTCTTCGAATCCTTGGATCGTGATCCAAAAAAGCTTCGCCCCCTGCTCTGCTTCTTATTTGCCGCGGGTTCCTGCCCTCGCAGCGTCTGCAAGTCGATATACGACTGAGGGAACACGCCCGTCTTTCCCTTGTTGTTAGTCCCGGACCAACACCAGTAGTCCGCATAGAGGCCTAGACTAGTTAGCATACGTCAAGTCAAATTGAGGAGCCCGTTCCAAATATGGACACTCACACTGCACATTCGTGATAACCTCGCCCTTGCCAAAGGACAGCCACGGCGCACCCCCGGCACCAGGCGGCTCCCACTTCCACCTTGTCGTCACACTCATCCCGCTGTCCCCACCTGACGGGATCTCTGTCTCCTGTGGCGGCCGCAACTGGATGGATTTGGCTGGGAACGCACCGAAGACCCCGTCGTGCCGGCCTAGGCAATATTTGCCGCCCCACTTCTCTGGGAATATGACACCGACGATCCGTGCGCCCTCCATAAACTCCAACATATCGGCGTCGTACTTTGGTGGCTTGTCCAGTTTCCCGCGCCCAGGCCGTCGGTAATGATCCTTTACCGCAATTGCGGTCGCTAGTCGTGCGACATTTTCCGGCATAGGTACAGGCGTGGCCGATTCGGGGAGGTGAAGGTCAAAGTCCAGAGGGGCAGAAGGCGGCAGTCGTCCGTAACATACCGAAACGCCCGATACATCGGGGAGCGGTTGTGGGTGGCGGGCGAGGTGACGGAGGAGGTCATCTGCGCTGCGGAAGACGGTGGCATCACCTTCGCGGATGGAGCTGCCGGCTTGTACACACCAGAGGCAAGCATAATGCGTTTCTGTGCTGTTCCCTTGCCGAAGGTGGGACTTGAATAGCAGGCGTAGCCGGTAGCGGGCGCCAGATTCGGACTTCCGGACGGCATCGGCTAGAAAGGTGTGAGGGTCGTCTCAAATAATAAATCCAAAAAGGGACACGTACGGCTATCGCTCTTATCAAGCTCAACCTCATCGAGATCGTGGCCATACCCACACTCGGAGCACGCCCCAACGTTGGTCATTTCATACTGGAACGGGACTGTAATCCCGTCTGACGCCCGAATCATATCCCCGCCAGCCGCCGCACCACCACCACCGTAGTCATAATCGGTGAGTTGGATGCTGTCCCAATGCCCGTCTTTTCGGAACTTGCTGGCGCCTTTGCAGAGGCCCTTGAGTTTGTAATACGTGCTGTCACCGCGGATGCCACAGTCAGGCACACGAGGGCTTGCCGGTCGTGATTTGCGGCGGTCGCTATTGTAGGCCGTTTCCCTCATGAGGTCGTCTAAGCCGATAAGGCCCGACTCGGTTCCGGTTTGGGAGAATGGCCGAGAAGCTTTCGGATCATCGTGTGTCCCGGCATAGTCCTGCTCGCTCGCATCTTCGGTAATGACTAAGGAGTCTAAACTGCCGAGCATTGCGGATGAGGATGTGCTGTTGTTCGACATCACGGATGTCCTAGTGTGCGTTGTACTGGGGCTTGGCACGGAGTCAAACGACTTCGACTGGATGGATGTATCAATAGTCAACGCATGTGGCTGTGACTCGATCGGATTCATCCCAGGTGATGCTGGTGGCGTAAATGCATCTCGAGAAGGGTCGTGAAGGTATGTTGAGTGCTGTGACTGACCCGTGGCAGACTGCCTCGGACTAGATCGAGCTGCCATGTCTTCAGTCATGTCCGCCTTTGTGACTGACCCTGCTGAGCGCCGTACCGTTCGCGGCATCGGCTCGCCGGTCCCGTCGTGCGATGTTACTCGCGACATTGTCCGGGAGCGTGTAGACCGAACCGACGCTGGACGAGAGCCCGACCGGGTAGGTAAAGGTGGCAATGGCGGGAAGCCTCCTGCTGGAATCGGCGGGGGAACGGCCTCAAACTTGAGTCGCCTTGCCGTTTCGACAATGTCGAGGGCGAGGGCCTTCGTGGCCGCTTGGAGTGCCGCATACTTAGCCTGGTCGAACTCATCCGGGTAGGTATAATCTTCAAAGTCCCACAACAAATCCTCAAGATCCAGACGTCTCTTCTCGATGGAGGCTAAGTAGTGTGAGCAATGAGGGAAGGCTCGGAGGATAAAATATTCCCTCTTACCTTGCTGTATCATTGTCTCACGAAACACATCGCCGTACCTGCTGAGCTGGTCGCGCCAGACCAACTGCACTTTGTTCAGTGCTCGTTCACCTTCCCGAACGAGTGCCTGTGCGGCTCGCGACATGGGATCGGCGTGGTCGGCGGACCCGGGGCTCTGGGAAACCGCATGGGGTGCCACGCGGGTGGCCGCAACGTTGCCCACCGTCACGACATCTCTCAACGGCCGTATCAGCAGGTCTTCCGCGTTGGGGGCCATAGCGGAGGCGGGTAAGATGAGTCTCCAGGGGGGTTAACGGAACAAATCTTCAAGCAGACCGCCGGCCCGGGTGTGTTGAGACAAATATTCGGCGGGGAACTTAAAGGCACGGACAGAAACGTGGTGAGAGGGGTGTCTGGGGTAATAGCTGATGTTGACAGCTGAGGACGACGCAATCAAGTCTCACACAAGCGGGTCCGGCCGATAAACACTGGAGTCGAGGATCCTTTGGATGCCGTGTCGCGCTGCGTTGAATCAATTAAGTTTCCCATTTTTCCCCGCCATTGCGCGAGGCCAGGCAGAATCGGCCACACCAAGACCCGGCACATTGGGACCGTAAATGCCACATGCAACTCCGACGACGTGACTGCATCTTCACACAGTCGCATGCAGCGGACCCGAACTCTGGAGGTCTTTGGACCCTGCTCTTGCCTGCTCCTCCGCGCTGCGGATATGCATGGCATTCAATGGTTGCAACAGCGCGACCCGCCGTTCCCCCCAAGTTCCCCCCAAAAAGGGACGTCTTTTGTGAGAGCAGCAGGGAAGGTGGGGGTCTCGGTGGATGAATCAGGGCGAATCGTCCGCAAAATGAGAATTTTTGTTTGAGAGTGTGGCGAGCATGGGAAGGAATGAACGAGCGTCGTGCTCAGTTCTGCCTTCCTTATTCGTCACCAGGCCGTTGGGCCCAAAGCTCGGCGCACGTGCCATGTACGAACTGAGTATGAGTACTGTGCGTATCGCGTGTCTTTTTAGAACCCATCCCGAAGCTTCGCTTGGGAATCAATATTGCGGCTGGCACTTTCCAGTTCAATGCAACTCGACCCGGGTTGATCCAAGGAGTTAGAAGCGAAGGGTGTCCCTGGGGAGCATGGAGATAATGGAGCGCGCCCCGGTACGAACTACGAAGTACTCCGTCGCCAGCCGTGGTTGAACTTGGAGATCAAAGATAAACCCGCACTGTGCCCCAATTAGGCCATTTCCATCTCGACACATTTTCTTCGCATCGCCAACAGCTCTCACCCTCGCCTGCTCATCACCGTAACATGGGATGCTCAAAGCTTATTGAACGGCGAGGCTTGCACATCACCACATCCCGCGCGCCAACCAGCTCGCCTCTTTGAGCCCTCGGTTGCCGTTCCCACATCTTGTGGCTCGATGCGGGCCGTTAGGGTGTCTCGACGGTTACACAATGGGATGCAGTGCCAAGACCACGTGCATGATTCTCTGGCTCTCAGTGCACTACACAGTCGCTGAATGGCGGGGACATCTTGAACACAAAGGCACACCAAACTGGGTCCTCCACGCGAGCTGAAACCCAGACAGCGTGACCGAGCCTGTCGTTCAATGGGCTTGAGACTTGCAGCTTATGCAGGCGAGGAAACCCGCGGGCGATTTTATGAAGCTGGAGCCACCAGTGTGCCTTGATATCAAGCGGGCCAGGTAAGACACTCCACAATAGAGTTATATTCAGCGTTAGTATAACCGCGCAGTTGAGAGGGATTGGCTGCGCGGAATCCAGGACGGCTCGCCAATGGCCACGATTCTTATCGACGACGGCCAACCTGGAGTCGAGACCTACGTATTGTGCATAATAGTCGCCCGTCTGAGCGACTGAATGAGGTCGAATCAAAGGTCGTTATCACCGGAAAGGGTCGGGCCCGGCCGGGGGCAACAGACCATGTCCGACGATCAAAGCAGCGGTTCCCATGCGACCCCCACGAGCTACAAGGCTGGCCGGCTGCCGGAGTGCGTGCCATAGATGGTTGTCGCCCCCGGGCCCCTGCAGGGAAGACCCGCTAACGAGCCGTAGGTTCCTGAGTCTCTGACCGAGCCTCCTAAACGTCGAAGGACCCCTGCCTCCAGGGTGGCCACAGTTCGAGGCCGATGCCACACGTGCAAGACATCCCCAAAGAGGGTGTTCTGTATATTGTATGGGACACCCCACCTCATTCCAGGCACCTGGAATCGTCGTCTGGATCACCAGTTGTCCCTTGCTCTCGTCTCAGAGCCGTCACCATGCGGTTCTTGTCGGAATTGGGCGAGAGCCTCCGGGCCTTCACGCCACAGGAATGCCGCAACATCGCCATTTACATCGCTGGTATCATGGTATACAAATTTGGACTGGAAGCGTTCAACGGCTCGATCATTGCGCTCGCGAGCAACCGATATGACTACGAATCGATTCGAGACGGAACACCAAGCCGGACGTTTGAGCGAGTCGGGCTCCTGACGGGTCTCAACCAGGCGTTCCAGTGCATTGGGTCCATCTTGATCGGGCCACTGGTATGGATGGCCAGTTGCAAACCCATTCCCAAGCGTCCTTCTAACACAGTACGATAGGTCAAACGCTACCCGACCAAGAACGTCCTTTCTTGCGCTATCTTGATATTCGGGATCTTTTCGGCGCTGTTGCTCATCATTGACGCGGCAACCGGTGGAACATTCATGCCAGTAGCTTGTAAGCTTGCCCTCTGGTTATCAAATCCGGGAACCGTGCTCACCAGGACCGCAGACCGGACGAATCACCCCGACCATGAGTGGCCATATTATGGAACGTATGTATCTCCTGCACGACCTATCCACGATGTGCGTTAACACAATTCAGGTACAACACCGACGTCATGATTCCTGTGTACTGTGTGTGTGGCATCGTCTACGGCATGGTCGAGCTGATCCGCCGTGTCATTCCACGTGATATCGTAGGAGGGCATATCAACAAACTAAAGAAGATGGACTCTCTCGTGCGTTGTACTGGCGGTTTTCTTCGAAGGCGGGGTGCTGATGTCTCCAGGTCCACATATTTTATGAAACGTCAGGCACCGCTGGCGCCTTTACGACTGGTCTCGCGATTATCCCCCAGCTCGGGAACAACATGGCGTTCATCATCACGCCCATTTGCTTCGCCATCGCCGCCATCATCTGGTTTTTCATCAGCGAACTCGACTTCCACCGCGAGAAGCCCCGACCCCTCCGTACACGCGACAAGGCATCCTACTGGAAAGCCGCCTTCAACGGCCTCTATCTCTTTGGCGAATCCGTCTACGTCGGCGGCAGAATCCTCTTCAGTTCCCGCAAATTCATCTGGCTCGTGCCTGGTTACTCGATCGCCCTCTACGGCCACCGCTACCTCGAAAACAATATCGCCCCGCAAGTCGCACGCCGGTACATGGGCAACTCCGCTTGGGCCCAAATAATGGTTGGCGGGTCCAACCTCGGCGAACTCCTCGGTGCCTTTTCCGTCCTCCTTTTCACCGACGCCGTGCAGACACCAATGCCCTGGCTCCGCCTTGACGCACTGATGCTCCTCGTTGTGTGGTATATCCCCTTCTGGCACCCACCATCAGACCAGGTCAGCCAAGCCTGGATCGCCGCGGCCACCCTTTTGCCGATGTCTTACGGCTGGGCGTCTGGCGACGTCTCGCTCGCAGCGTACATCCAGGCCTCACTAGCACGAATCGAATCGCAAAACAAGAACGTGTCTGCCCTCGGCGCGGTCATGGCTTTTCTCTACTCGTTCTACATCGTCACCTATGCCGTGGCTGGCACACTGCTCGGACGGTACCTCGACGACGTGTACAACCGGACCGGTGGTGTACATGGGGACGGTGAGGTGCGGACAGGGCTGGTGTACACGGCAGGCGTGCAATTCTCCGTCATTGCGGTGCTGGTGTTTGCCTCGACATTCGTGCCGAAGGGCTCGTTTGCGTTGAATCCCAAGATCATCTCGGATGAGGTCCTGGATGAGGACGACGAGCATATTGAGATTGAGGAGCAGCGGCCGCGGCCAGATGATGGCCCACGACTGGAGAGTGGGCTGAAGAAGAATACAAGGAGTTATTGCAGCAGCGAGGATGGCTCAGAGCCTAGGGTGGAGAAGAAGATTAGTGAGATTTTGTGAGCGTTAGTTACTGTTGGCGGGGTTTGTTTTTCTTTGTTGGTTTGCACCAGGAATAATGTGGTTGATTTAGGAGATACCCAGCATTGCATGGCGTTTGGGTTACGTTCGCTAGAGTACCTAGAAAATAATGCTAAGATCCATTTCTAATTATTTCAAGCAAGTGTTTTCTGCTGAGCGAAACCCAACATCGTCCCTGGGGGGGAAACACCTGCAGTTTGCCAGTGATACTTGAAACACCATCCCGCAAGCACAACCAGTTTGCTTGATCGTAGCTGATTGTCCAATAGCTTGTCCTGGTCAAACCACATCACCAAAGCTGCAGCTCAACGCAACAATCCAGTAACAGTTTCCTCTTCATCACATACCAGAGCGAGGAAGAAACCCGAACACGGTTTCGAAATACCTCATCTCGCGAGCCATTAATTTCCTGTCGACCATAGCCACATCACAACACCAAAAGGGCATCTTGCATCGCAAGAAAAGTCCCAAAACAACTAAACTGAAACCCGCCGATAGTCAACTGCCGGTGCCCAACCTCGACCGACGACCCGACCGATCAGAAACCGTTTTCGGCATACCGAACCGTTCTCAATGGTTCCCTTACGCAGCCAGTTGCAGGCTTCCATGCGTTTTACCACGTGGGGAGCAAGGAGGAGGGCCGGAACATTCCATTGGGGTGAACTGGATGTGACGACTAGTGTGGGTGTGGTGGGGGATGGAACTTCTTTAGGACTTGTTTGGCGATTGTCTCTTTGTATTCGGTCGTCGCGTTAGTTACGATGTGGGAGGGAAAATTATCGAAGATGACGCGGCGTTCATTATCACAAAGCGTTGGGAAAATTGTGTTTTCACGCGAGATCGGTGGTTTATTCATCCTTTGCTATCCGCCGGACCGACGCTATCGAACGATTCCGTGCTTTCCTCCGTGGCCCATCATCGCCCGTTCCTAACCCGAATCCCCCATGATATTCCTGCAAAGAATCCCCAATTCTCGACCGATTTCCCTTGTAGTCTCGCGTGTGTCCTTGTCCTTGTTGCTGCTTACGGGGCGGGAACGACCTTGCCAGTGCCGTACCCAATGTTGAACACGGTGTCCGGCAGGCGCCCGTTGGTGCTGCCCAGAGCGTGCGGGCACTTGGGCTGGTTGCTGAAGTTCAGGTCCAGGGAGCACTGCTCGTCGTAGCCCCAGTGGCAGACCGGGTCCTGGATGTTGAACAGGCGGTAGTTGCGCGCCACCCAGCTGTTAGCCTGGCCCAGGCAGCTGGAGAGGAAATTCATGCTGTTCGAAGCCGACAGCGGGAGGCCACCGGCCTTGAGGTGCTGCAGGCAATTGTCGGCAGGCACGTTGGAGATGTCCATGTTGACGGCACCGCCGGTGATAGGGTTCTCGGTGGCGGACTTGCCGGAAACGAGGAAATTGTAGGCGTCGTACGAGATGTCGTGGGCGCTGCCGGACTGGTCGATACGGAGAAGGTCGACGCTGCGGCCGGCGTGGGAGACGCGCACGCAGATGTTTTTGCAATCAACGGACATGGGCCAGTAGGCCACACGATTGGTGTTGATCTTGCCGCCGAGAACGCCGACGGAGGAGGAGTACTTGTCGTGAGAAGTGATGCCCAGCGACTCACCGGCGGCCAAGGTAGCCAAGCCGGCGGCAACAACGGCCTTGAAGGAAACCATCTTGACTGTTGGGTGTGTGACGGTATTGGTAAATGGTAGAGGGTGAATGGTAGATGTGGTCAAGTGTTAAACACTGAGGATGCTTGTGTAATCCTTTGGTTGCGTGGAGGTTTTGTGGGTTAGTGTGGAAAAGAAGAAGAAGTGTGGTTTGTGGGCAATGAGAGAGCCTTTTTATAGAAATTAGGGTAGGGAAGTTTATCAGGGTTCAACGCATTGAACAGTTCATCTGTTCGTTCTTGCCGCCCGATGACTTCCACTCCGGAAATCTCTGCGGAAAACTCAGCGCACATCAGCCAGAAAATAATTCGGAAAGTCTCCGTGGCAAACACAACGCGTGCCAGTTAGAAGAGCAAAGAGCGCCTGCCTTCCCCAACAACGCATAGCACGGCCGTGAGAGCTATTATAACCTCGAGCAATGGGCTGAATCTATTGTTAGTGGGTCAGGTTCCGTGGTCCGCCATTGTGTCAAGCGGGAAGCCTCCTTGTTCAGTGTTGACAAGCACCGGATTGTTTGTTTTCACTGTTTCCCGTTCAACATGTCGGGGCCGCTGAGCATTTAGTTGGCTGTATTTATGTCTTTTGGTGTCCCGGGAAAAGAGGTTTCAGGCTTCCCTTACAAGAGAACTTGAACCAAACACCGCTATAGCGGTTAGTTGAGGACAACACCCCTCAAGCTGCGGGCTTTCTATAACTGAACTTAACAAATAACCTTCGTGCATGTATCGTTTGAAAATATCCAAACTGATGAAGGAATGTTTGTGTCAGGTATGTCGTTTGCTTGGATCAAATACCCTGATGTGAATTTCATTGCTTGTAAAGGGAATATATGATCCGAAAGGCCAAAATTAGGTACTCATAGGCTACCTGTGGATTAGGCCACTTCCTTCGGACGTAGGGGGTCGAGGAGCGTTACACTTTCTCAAAGCGACCACAGTCCTTGTAGCTTGGGATTCTATAGAGATCCTCCCTACTGCTTGAATCGCCGCCTCCGTTTCAAGATTTACAGGGTATGGCGAGTGAGGAGGCGGGAGCTGCTGCAACAGTGGTACCAGACTATATGAGTTCGTATAAACCTTATCTGCGGCAGAATCGGGGCTTTAGGAGGGGTAGAGTGGGGAGGTGGAATGTTAGGAGCCACGAGCCGCTGCAGAGCGCAGGACTAGTCTGTATAGATTCATGTGAACCCCGTCTGAAGGAACAAAAGGACGTCAAGACGGGTAGAGTTAGGCAGCAAAGAGGAGGTAGCAGACTTTTATCTTCTCGGTATAACGTATCTCTCGGGGATCAATTCTGGACAGGCCCGGAACGATTGAAGGTGATTAAAGGTCAGCAGATTCGGTGAAGCCAAAAGGTTCACAACAAAGTTCAGCAATTATCTCTTGCAGCTCTCCCCAGACCCCCTGGAACCCTCTTCCAATTAGTTTTAGCTTGCTTACAATGATTGCTATAGGTGAACCCAGCACCACCCGTGTGCGCAGCCAGTGCAAATGCCGAGGCGACTCAGCAAGAGCTAGATGTCAAGAATTTTCTGACCATGAACTGTTACGGCCTGTACGACGTCATGGGCCGCAAGTACAGGGCCATCTTTCTCCGAAACATCCTGGCATTGATGACGGAGCTTCCCAACCCAATAGGGCCTCGAGTGTCTAAGCTATTGGCGTAAAGGTTAGGTTGATTTTGCCTGCTGTTCTTCTCTTTTCTCCTCTCTCTCCTCTCCTCCCTTTCCTTTCTCCGTTCTTTTTCTCTTTTCTTTCTCTTTTTTCTTGTTGTTGTTCTTGTTTTTGTTCTTTTTTTTGTCAGGTTGTTATAGTTTAGGCGGGGGGAATCCTCCATGTACAAGTATAGAATCCTTTTTTTTGATCCTTGCTCCGCAGCATCCTTAATCTGCAGGCCGAGTACCCCGTGCACAGGATCTCTCCATCAGAAACGGATGATTGTGTTGTTAGCATTTTGGGGACATACAAGTCGGCCAGAATTACATCTTACAGTGAATTTGCAGCAGTGCCTCGCACGAAAGAGGTGGTAGTGGTGGTGGTCGAAGAGAGCGGCGGCGGCGTCGGCTTCGAGGGGAGGGCGTCGAGGGGAAGCCGTTCGACTACAAGCCCCCACTAAAGAAACCCAAGCGCTCGGTTCTCGAGCCGCTGGACAATTTGACTGCCAATAAAGCAAGTGCTGGCGGTCCGTGGTGGAGATATATGTCTATTTTCGTGACGAGATAGCCTCCACGGAGTATTGTCTCATATCAGCGATGAGGAAAGAGCGGAGGTGTTCTGTCGGGCGGTGGAGCAGACGGGGGGAAAGTTCTTTACATAGAAAATAGATTTAGCGAGGAGAAGCAATAGGAGACGCTGACAGCTCCGCGTCGTCACCCGGACGAACAAAGGAAAGTTTCTCGGGAGACCAGAGAATACTACGTCTACATATCAATCCTCTCATCCTTGAGCTCCTTCTCGGTCCAGTCCCACAACCTCTTAGCCAGAGCATCATCGTTCGTATGCGGCTTGCCCAAGCCAGCCCTACCGATAGGCTCATAGTACGTCCCCGACACGACTTCCTTGGACGTCGAAGCCCACAGCTGGTTGAGGGTTCCGGTCGGAACATCGACACCGATGAAAGCCGTGGCGACTTTCCACGCGATGCGCATAATCCAGCTGCTGTCGCTCATGGTGTTGGCCAGGTTGGTAGTGACCAGGCCGGGCTGGATGGAAGAGCTGGTGAGCTGGGGATAGTGCTGGGTTAGCTCTTTGGCGTAAAGGGCGTTAGCGAGCTTGCTCTGTCCGTAGCGGGTGATGGTGCTCAGCCTCTCGGCCCGGTTCTTTAGCGTGTCGAATAAGATGCCCTCAGCGGGTGCGTACCGGTGGGCGGACGAGGCCAGGACGGTGACGCGGACGTCTGATTTGGGTTCTGCAGCTGTTGTCAGGAGAGTAGGAAGGAGAAGCTTGGTGAGAAGGGCGTGTCCCATGTGGTTGGTGCCGAACTGGATCTCGTAGCCGTCGTCGGTTGTTCCTGCTGGGACCGACATGATGCCTGCGTTCAGGAGGAGAATGTCTAGACGATCAGACTGTTGCGTGAAGGTTTTGGCCGACTCCCGGATCGAGACGAAGGATCCCAGATCCATGGGAAGGAACTTGATGGGCGGTGCATTGGGAACTTGTGCTTTGATGTCGTCGATGGCTCCGTGGGCCTTGGCCTTGCTGCGAGCCACGAGCCAGATCTCCTTGGGGCCGTGTTTGGAGAACTCCAGAATGGACTGCTTGCCAAGGCCACTGCTGCCGCCAGTGCCAAGAATAACCTTTCCCTCGAGGGACGGAATGTCCTTGTCCGGGTTGAACTGCAGGCTCTTGCTCCCTGAAGATGCCATTGTGACAGCCGAAAGGTATAGTAAGTAGCTGTTGCATGAGAAGCAGCACAATCGGCGTGTGGCTTCCCAGATCCTGGGACATCGTGGCTTGTTATGCACCGTACTTTATAGTTTATACCATTACAAACGCGCAGGGATTCCCCCCAGCTGGCCTTTATCGTCCCTTCGTCATCCTTTGTCTATAGGGATGTGGTGCGGACATTGTGGGGCCGCGCCACCAAGGAGGAGACCGCTGGGATCGGCGATTGTATGATTCGGGCACCGCGGCCGCATTCCCCGCACCGTCCCCTCACACCAGTCTCGGTCAGAGCGTCATCTAGATTCTGTCCACCTCTGAACCGAGATGAGAGACTTCTTCCTCGCGAAGTCCAGGAAGCTAGTGATACCCCCTGATCTATCTGCCTCCCTCTCTGCTCCTGTGATCTCTCCCCCAGTCACTGGCTATGCTCATGCCGCAACTTCCACGGCCTGACTGACCTGGCGTGCGGCTGCTCCCCGCCTTCCTTGCAACATCCGCTCCCACCATGGCCTCCCGCAGCGACCAGGTTTGCGGGGCCTGCAAAAAGCAGAAGCGGCGCTGCGATAAGGTTCTCCCCGAATGCAGCTTGTGCCGGCGAACGGGGCGCGTGTGCGAGTATGTCACTGCCGCCGATCCTCAGCCGACCGCTCGCGACTGGGGCTCCATGCAGGCACGTCTCACTGAGCTTGAGAACCGCTTGACCGGCTCGCCGGCACCGAGCCAGACCTTGACGTCCAGCAGCGCCGTATGCGCGCCCCTCGATAGCACCCGCAGCCCCGGGCCGGGCAGTGTGACCTCATCGTTCCCATCTGTCGACGCCACGCCTGCCTCCTCCATCGTCGAGGATCCGGGCCCGTATTCGGGAGTCCAGTTTCCCGCGTCCATGTTCCTTGATGTTGACTGCTACATCTGGTCCCACGCCCGGCTGCCTGCTCCCCGCGGCGCCATTCCTGCGGTGCGTTCCCTTGGTCGTCTACGCCCGCCTGTTCATCCGGATTCTAATCCGTCCAGGTCTGCAGCCCGTCCTGGCGCTTCTCAGCCAAGGAAACGTCGTCCTCGACGTGTCGCGCGACTACTTTGCCACAATCCACACCTGGTTACCGATGGTGTCCAAGAAGAGGATGGACATGGGGCTTTCGTTGCAGAATGCTGGCCCCGACCTCGCCATGCTGTTTCTCGGCATGAAACTTGCCACAGCGCCCGCGACCGACGTCTCCGACTGCACCTTGTACGCGACGGCCAAAAACTTCCTTGCCCGCCTCGAGAGCAACGGTGCCGTCTCGCTACTCTGTCTTCAGGCCATGATCTTGGTCGCTTTGTACGAGTACAGCCACGCGATTTATCCGGCTGCGTGGATGACCATCGGGGCGTGCGCACGGTACGCTGACGTCTTGGGCCTTGCCCCGGGCGATTATCCCATCTTGGGTCAACCTGTAAGTGTCCCCAACTGCTAGGTAAAACCTGTGAATTGAACTCCTGGAATAGACAACCTGGACAGATGCAGAAGAGAGGAGGAGGGTATGGTGGAGTATCTTTATCCTCGACAAGCTCGTATCAATGGGTAGCAGAAGGCGCTGCCTAGTGCCGGACCCGGAGCCCGAGGGCAGGTTGCCGGTCGACGACGAGGCATGGGTAATTACATAGTTACATGATACATACGTTAAGCGACAGGTCATTTGGCAGCAACTGACATGGGAACCAGGACTGCGGCGAAGTCAGCAAGGCCCTCGGCCACTCAACTTCCACGCCTTACCAGATGGAGCAATCTGGCTTTGCACGACTGTGCCAGGCCTCGATCTATCTCGGCCGCGCCATAAGTTACGCACGCGGGAACCCTGGGATGAGCACGTCCCACGCCGCAGAGATCATGTCCCTAACCCACGAGCTCACCAGCTTCGGCGCGACTGTGGACAATGAAAGCAGCGCTTGCGGTTTCGAGCACCGTTTCACCCTCCTTGGCCCTCGGTGCATTGCCCGCTCAGCGCTATTCGTCGCCCTTGATCGTCTTACCTGCCCGGAGAAGATGGGTGCAGAGCCTGGCTATGTCACCCAACAGGGCGCAAAGACACAGCACGAGCTCGAGCTGCAGAGGCAGTCGATGCAGGTCATCGAAACGGCGAGCGCGCAGTTACACACGTTAGGGATGGACGTGTTGGCCATGCTGCGGTCTGAAGGTGGTGTCGCGCAGAATCGGGCACATTCACTGGGCCTGGTGAGCCCCTTCATCATGGAGTCCCTCTACGCAGCGGCAGCGACGTTCCACTGGCTGCTTGGGGAGGGCGGGAAGGAGGGTTACGGCAAGGCTGCCGATGATCTGGACATGGTCCTCGACATGCTGAGCTCGAGGTGGCGGCTTTGTGGCGTGTACAGGGAATTATTGATGGTGTATAACGTCTCCGCAAGGGTCGAGGCAAGCATGGCGTAACGGTGGAATCGGCGAGGCGGGCGGGAGTCGAGCGAGTGTGTGGATTATGTAGTGCTGTGATTGTAGGCTAAGCGGTCGGGGAATCGTATATATTTGCGTGTGGCGATTAATTTGTGTCCTTTCCCGTGTTGGCCCGAGAGTCTGGTTGGTCACCGGAGCTTTCTCGCACGAATGCGGCCCCACGGCCGCACAGTTACGGAAGTGCGGCCGCATTCCCGCAGCGATCGGCCGCAGTGGGTCCCGGCAATCCCGCGCCGTTGCGGCTGCATTCCTTTGACAATTCTCATGGTAGTGGATCACAATCTGCAAAGTATTGACTGTTGGCAACGATGGCCTATAAAGCCGAGAACCATCCCAACAGCCTCACAATACCATGACTTGCAACGCTCACACATTCTCCCCTCCCGCATATCCGATCGGCTCTCGACCACGGCGTTCAAGTAACCCTTCTTATTTACCTTGGAAATATCAGGCCCCATTCGCCCAATATGAGCATCCGCCGAAGCACCATTATTCCCCACAAGCCGACTCTAACAGAGAAGAACCTTCCTGACCAAACAGGCAAGGTAAGGCAAACTTGCTCCACATGCTATTACGACTGGCTCAATGTACTGACCCACGTTACTAGGTCTTCCTGATCACTGGAGCATCGGGCGGTCTCGGGAAGGAGATTGCTTCGATTCTATATCAGAAAAATGCCAAGATCTATATGGCCGCCCGCTCCCGGTCCAAGACGAGCGAGGTCATCAAGGAGATCGAGGCAACCCATCCAACCTCGACTGGACACATGATCTTTTTGCCGTTGGTCCTGGACAACTTGACCACCATCAAGGCCTCAGCCGACGAATTCCTAGCACAGGAGCGCCGCCTCGACGTCCTCTACAACAACGCCGGCGTGATGGTGCCCCCCCAGGGGTCCAAAACCGTCCAAGGCTACGAGCTCCAGATCGGTGTGAACAACCTCGCCCCATCTCTCTTCACCCACTTCCTGCACCCCGTCCTTGCCGCCACGGCCCAGATCGCCCCCAAGAACTCGGTACGCGTGATCTGGGTGTCCTCCAGCGCCGCCGACAACGCCCCGGTACCTGCTATCGACTTCACGAACATGGACTACCACAACGAAGAAGGGATCTGGAGCAAATACTCGCGCAGCAAGGCCGGAAACGTCTTGCAAGCCGTCGAGTATGCCCGCAGGACGGCCGGCCAGGGCATCATCAGCATGGTTGGCCATACCACCGACTCTTCTCATTGATCAGCGTTCCAAACTGACACTTATCTATCCAGGCCCTCAACCCGGGAAACTTTGTGACCAACCTGCAGCAGAACATGTCCAAGATGCAGCTTGCAATGTTTGTAGGTCGACGTCTAGTTGCGTACGAGCGTCCAAGGATCATACGGACTAACGTGAGCTGCTCTCATCAGAAACTCATCTCGCACGCGTCCAAGAACGGCGCCTACACCCAGCTCTTTGCAAGTCATTCTCCCACCATCACAGAGAAGGATAACGGCGGTTGGGGTTCGTATTCCATGTCTCACCCCCCCGCCCTCCCCCCTCTCCCCTCTCAAAAGATGACATCCACCTTCGGTAGCTAACGACGCTGCTCGTCCTACAGTTTCGCCTTTCGGAAAGATTGAGCCGGCTCGTAAGGACCTCCTTGATCCTGTCCTTGGAAAGCAGTACTGGGAGTGGACTGAGGAGCAGATCAAGCAGTACAAGTGAGGCTTTCGATAAAGAAGGGCTGCATTGTCACAAGCCCCGGTGCTGGAACGCCAGCAACCGGGATTGCACCGTATCACATGGGCCGTGGCAAAGGGTGCTTACATTTGATAACGAACTTACTTTATAACGTATCAACTGGAGGAATCAGAATTCGGCAGTCCTGACCACCGCAAACGAACCCCAGTCCTTGTTGTTTGAGCTGCTGCAGTTGAAGACTGTCCTCCATAGCTTTCTACACCCGGGGTCGTAGACATCATGGGCGCTCTTTGTTGCGTGATTTCACTTACTTGTATACTGTTTTAGTAGAAATGAACATTCAAGAGCTAAATCCTCTGTGAACGTTGGAGGAGAAGGTGCACGGTTGTGCAGAAGGTCGTCGCATGACTCGCGTCAGAAACCAACCAATAATCAATTGCATTTGCAGAGGACAAACAAGACAAGGAAGGGGAAACAGTTTGCCTGATCAATTAGCTGTAAATACCGATCCCTGTTTAGAAATCCAACAGCACGATCGAGAGCAGAAAACGGAGGAAAATTCCCCTTTCCTCATTTTCCTCAGATCCGGTCACTTGTAAACGTTCTCAAGCGCATATGTCGGGGCACATTCTTAAAATGCCCTTGATCGCAGTCAAAACCCTAACCCTAGCGTCTCACGAGGCCGGCGCCGGCGACCCTTTGGTTCAGACGCACTCAAGAATGAAACAGCAGAGACGGCAGTGCCGAGTAAAATCAATGTGTCGCACAATCCTCAGGCTCGGCGTTTTGTCCCTCCAGAGGACCGGAGTGTCCAAACCCTGGACCGCTCAGTTTTGCTGGTGCATGTTCAGCGGCCCTATAGAAGTTGATGCCCAAACGGGCTGTCAGCATCGGAGGTTCTCTTTACAGTAGCCCCGTCGTTTGTTGGTTCACCCCAGCTATGTAGCTTCACGTTATCTTTCAAACCCAAACTTCTTTCCTCCTTGACCCGTCTTCGCCTCCTAGGCCAAGGTCCACCACTAAAAGAGATTTAAGGATCCGGACCCTGGGAACATAATTACTTCACGCATCCATGTTGACATCCAGTCGGAAACCAGCGACATGTGTCTTTGAGCGATTGTTCCTACAAGAGGAAACAAGCTCGGGAGTAAAACTCTATGCTGACAGTGAATCGCTGAAGCTTGATAAGAGGTTCTGTCACTTACATTGCCTTAAATAAGATCCAACCATTTTCAGTTTTCTCTACACAACAAGGCCATAAATCAGAAGCTTAGGGCATGTTGATACTCATCCAAATACATCTCTAGTCGCCCCGGCTGGGTGGATTATCTGGGCCCTGAGATGTCTCCTTCGTAGAAGTTGTTAGAAATGTGACCTAGAACCTGGATGTGCGAATTCAACCCTCAAAACAGACGGTTATCCACACGGTATCGTTTGCTTTCACCGTTTCCCATTCAACATTTTCTAGACGCTGAGCATTACATCGTATCCATTTCCCCCCGAGGCTAGGGCAAAGTGTTCCCAGTGGTTTACCTTGCAGGACAACTAGAACCAAACACCGTTGCAGGGCTTGCCTCGGGGCAATATTTCTCAAGCTGCAGATTTCAATGTCTAGGTGTGAGGAATAATCCTCCTCTCCGCGTTATTTTAAAGTGTTTTACACTGATGAAGTAATATTTGTCAATTTAGTTGCAGCAACGACACAAACAGGCATATAATTTGCTTGGATCGAACAACGTAATCAGCTTCATTACTTGAGCGAGGAGGCCGTGTAATTCTGCTTCCTCCATGGCCATGCGATCCGGCTCATGTCGCCTTTGATCCAATAACCGGTACCCCCCCTCCGCGCGATCTGGGATCTCTCCTCAAACGAACCTAGCATCTTTCGGTACTCCGCGCTGTTATATTCGGGATAGTTCCTAGGGTCAGCTCTGAATCCATGTGGCAGGTTTCGCAGGCGATCGTCGTCCCAGAAGACGTAAGCACGCTTGCGCAGCCAAGCAGCAGGTTGATGCAGACACGAAGCCCCCAGCCACCAGCCTGCATTGGCCTCGCGCCACGCTCGATACGGGCCTGGGTCAATGTCGTCGTTATGATTCTTAACTTGGTGACCATGGCGTTGTGGGATGGCGTGCAACTCCGTGTCCGAGTATTCCGCCAACCTTCTAGGATCACTTTCGCCGTGGCCGATTACATCCCATAACGCCTCGGGTAAACTGAGTTTGGCGTCATAGGTGCCGTAGGTACGGTATAAGATCTCATCCCTGGCATCATAAGAGTTGGCCTTACTCAAGTCGTGAATGAAAGTAACGCCGTGGGCCAACTAGAGCTCGGAAGAAACTAGATGTTAGTACATTCATGACCGCCTGATGCTCTAAATGGATTTCGTCACTGACCCAGCTTTGTCTCCAGCCATTATCTGCCCCGGTAGTAACGTAATCTACGCCTCCTTCACCAAAGTCGACATCATGGGCCAAGACATCGAGAGAAGCTGTGAAAAGGGGGTTAGACGAGCCTTGCTAGCCCTCCAGTAACGCTGAAATTTTGGGGTATTCACCCTGCGCAAAGGTCTGCTCTATATATTCGTACACAGACGCCAGCTATTCGTTTTCCCCAGGGGGATACCTCGACAAAAACCAGCGCGGCAGGGGATCGTCAAAATCGGCTTCCCGAAACAGGGTATAAGATAGCTCGACCCGGTAGAATGCGCGGCAAAAGCGAAAGTACTCGCTCGGCGACAGGGCCGGGGTGCTCGTTGGGGAAGGTGGAATGTGGTCTTGAGCCTTCGACGCGAAGTCGGTGGCTAATGTGTGAATTGCATCATGGGTGACGCTCATGCTTTGCACTTTGTTCACAGGCAAGGTTGGCGTGTGAGCGGCTAAATGGGCCGGAGTCTTGTAGAGCTTGTCAAGCAAACCTGAGATCGAGGCGCCCACGACAGGACGTGGCAGATGCGGTGCTTCTGCCACGGCGATGGCGTATGGTAGCAGGGCCGACGTAATTTGGTGGCGGACGACAGAGATACCCACATGATGGCTCTGGTTACATGAACTATAGTAATGGCGACAGGTGAGGAGAGCTAAACAGAGAGACCGGGGGTGGGGGAGGCTTTTAGGATCAACGCCATTTTCTCACAGGGGAGCTATGTGATGGACAGTATGGAGGATGGATGTCGGCATATAAATTTGCCCTTGGAGTTGCGGAGTGTTAAGGGAGCGAGTGTACGAGTGACGAGTCGATGATTAAATGTTGTGAAAATGTTGGGCAGCATGGCCTGAGTGTGCGGTGTGGGATTGTTATCTAACAACGTCATCGGTCTATGTATGTACCCTCAGGGTACGTTGTGGCCAGAAAAAAAGCGGCAGACTACCTAATTAAGTCCCTGGAGGATGCCCTACCTTTCTACAAAAGTGAAACCAGACAAAAAACAATAAATCAGAAAAGTGAAAGAAGACAAAAAGGAATGTATTAAAAACGTGGAAGGAGATGAAGAAGAAGGAATCAAGAAAGAAAAAGAAGACGGAGAACAATAATTAAAGCAAAAAGGTGGGAGAAAATGAAAAGGAATCGAGTAAAAAAAGATAAGTAATTATCCTGAGATTCGATTAAGTACTATCTTGAAGCTCTGCTAACTCTTCATTAACTATAATAATTACACAATCTCACCAATTTCGCCGTTCTTAACTCCCCGCAACACATCCAAAATAGTCTGCCTCTGTTCAACATACGCAAACTCAATCGTCTTTTCCCCTACCTTCCCAGCCACAAGCTCCTCTTCACTCGCCCAAACAGCATCCACATGTTCATTCGGATCCAACTTCACCACCAACCCCATCCTCTCACCACCATCCCCCATCACTCCCTCCCCAGCAGCAGCAGCAGCATCGTCATCAACAACCCCAACAAAAAGCGTGATCTTCTTCCACACACACCCATCCTCCTTCCCATCAAAATCCAACACATCCACCACACCCTTGAACTCCTTCACGACCAGCCCTGTTTCTTCACGCACCTCGCGGCGCGCGGCGTCAAGCACAGAAGCGTCCGTGGCGTCGACACCTCCACCGGGACATTCCCATTTGAGGGGGAATCCGTCGTGGGGTGCGCGTTGGATGAGTAGGACGCGATGGTTGTGGATGACGACTGCGCTGACGATGAGGTTTGTGGTGGGTGGGTTGGCGGCGATGTAAGTTACTGGGGAGGCGTGGTAGGGGGTGAGGGATGGGTTCAGGGGTGAGGACATGGTGGAGGGGGGAGATAATTGGTGATGTTTGACGTTATGACTTTTTGGTGGGTTGTTTGTTGGGGTCGCCTTAATTAGGCCGTGGTTGAGAGAACCGTCGTAATGTAACAAATCTTGTTTAAGTTTTGGTCAATTGTTGAAATGCGATACCATGATTTAACGATGACAATGGACAATGATGGTTTTTTAATGGACGTTGTAACACTAAATTGTTGAGACGAATTAAAAGCCATTAATTAGTTGATGATACCTTATGGTGAATCCGGATGCCTAAAACACGACGCGCAACCAATTAATCCAGGTTCCTACATACCTTCACTTTCTTCACGCCGGTGACTCACAATGTCTCCGCGCACGACGTCATCCAACCCAGCACTAATTAACCCAAATCGGTCGAATTACATGCTCTGATACAATGGAAACGGCTACAATGGCTGATAGTAGACTTCTCCTACCTAATCCCATGGCAGTTTGACTCGGCCCTCGATGTGAGTGATGGAGGGTACCTCACAGAAGCCGTAAACAGAGTCCAAATAATTCCCACAAACCCAATTACTATGCGACAAAAATGGCTAACATCTCATTTTCCAAACACCCCTTGCGCTATTCACCCGTTTACAGGTTACATGGGGTGGACACCACCGGGAATAGCGTCAAGCCCTGTCAGTCAATTAGCGGATGCCTATTGTGTCACGTATCACAACAAAGCTTACACCCTTCTGTCTCTTCCGGCACTGTCTGCTGCTTCTGGCATGCAAGCGCTTGTTCAGTGGACTGAGTCGTCAGAACCGAGCATTGGTTGCCCGTGCAGCGCGCATCTAACGCACGCTGGAGGGAGTCTCCTTTCCAGCCAAAGATGTAATCGCCATGCTGGCCGAATCCGGTCCTGCACCACGGTGTTAGAAACTTTACTGAGCAAAAGAATGGAGGCGAAAAACCGCACTCATCACCCATAGAGTACACCAACGGCTGCCCGCTTTCAGGCCACACCTCCGGGTCGTTGAACTCGCGTGTGTCCCACATCACCTCGTACATGAGCTGCGGCACACGGACGGGGTGAGAGTCAGGACACGGGCCGGTCGTCTCGAAACTGCCGCTACTCGGGTACGCGACGTGGCTCTTGTGGTCGGGGGTGTCGACGTTTTTGCCGTCCCAACATCTGTGCGTACCTTCATCAGCGTCCGTCCTTCGGGCCAGGCATCTCTGCGTATGGAATTATGTGTCTTGGGGGAGGCGATCTTACGTGGGGAACGTGATAGTTGTCCGGATACCGCCGTGGCACATTCCAGTCGGGAAAGAAGCCGTGTCGGCACCGGAGCAGGGCGCGCCACCAAAGGGGGTTTGCTCGATGTTCTCCTCACAACGGTGGCAGATTTGCTTTTGCATGCCTTCTTCTGTACGGAGGGTTGCGTCACCGACGAGCATGCGGAAGCCCTAAAATCATCAATGACCACGGATAAGCCCCTTTCTAAGAATCCCTGAGACTCACCGGCTTAAACGCCGTAACGGTCGTCTTCCCATCATAAGGCGGGATATAATACACCGTCACACCCCCAGCCCCTTGAAGCCCCAGATTTACCATCTGCGGCACCCGCTTGTAACTCCCGTTTTTGGCATGGAAGTAGATATTCGCCGTCCAGTAATTGCTAAAGTCCTCCGCGAACGAGCACGTCGTGCAGGTAGACTCGACGGATGGGTCATAGTCGCCAGGTGTCATGCTGGCGTTGAAGGCATTGCCACCTACTATTTGGTGAAGGTGGGGTGACTGGACCTCGCCGGGGTTAACGAGAGGGTCGAGGCGCTCGATGACGAGTTGCGAGCATTGGAAGCGCATCATGGCAGCCGTCGCGAACTGGGCCGCGGCTTGTTGCGCCCATAGCGCTGAGGTGAGGAGGGCGGCCTTCATGTTCAAAGGAACGTGAATAGTGCAGTTGGAGATCTTGTCAGTTACGCGTAGATACTTTTGGCTGGGTCTGGTAGTCGACCTAGCGAATGAGAAAAGAGAAAGTGAAGCCCGCGTGGTTTGATGAGGTTATATACGCCTCCTAGGCATACAAGGGCCTGTCATTTAGATATCTCCTGGCATGGATAAGGAGTATTTCAATAACTTGGGATGGAAGTTTCCAAAATCTTCAAATATTCTCGAGGTGGCGTTGTTCAACTGCCGGATATTGAATGCGTCGGTGGTTAAATCAGGGGTAAAGAGCAACAGCCCCCATTGGGTCGACACGACGGGCCAGCTAACAAGTTGCGAGTACAACAATGTGTTTAATATAAAACCGCGAAATAATATCCGGTAACCCCCACAATGGTCCCCCTCGCCGCCTCAACGAGGTCTCAGGAACAGCCGTCGGCTGCGGTGTTCTTCCAATGATGAACAGTCAGGAAAGTTGGCGCAGCAGTCGGCCTTGGCAGTTAACTGTCCCTTGGCGAGTCCAGGTTACTCCCAACAAAAACCTGGTATTATGCAACGACTTGTGCGGTGAAGGTTAAACCCCTGAGTCTTGGAGAATTCCTTTTGCGTAATTATTATGTAATAACGCGGTTGGTTGGCTTCAAATAATTCACGTGGTTATTTCCATACTGGGAGACTGTAATAGATAAACTACATCTCGAAAACACGGCGTGGAAGTGATGGTCACCGTACCGGAGCAGGGGAATGCGCCAAATGCTCAGGATATTTTGGCTTTGATCGAGTCTCCATGGACAGCCGTAATTGCGTATTATACCTAGTTATTAATTACATGACGGGATTCCCACGGGAAATCAGTGTAGCGATTATTACTTCCACCAGCGCCTGCAACCTCCCTTCAAATCGCACTCACAATGGGTCTGTGAAGACAATTCAACCTCCGCTGTTCATGTTAATAGTAGCAGTGGAGCTTTCCATCGTAAAAAAGTTTGTTGTTGTTTTGCTGGGTTTGACGATCACGAAAATCGCCATTTGCAATAAGTAGCGGCCAACGGGAAGGAGCAACCACTGCCGTCGTAGTTCCTCCGGCAACCGGGTAAACGAGGAAGGTGGAAAGAATGAAGGGGAAACTCAAATCGTCCAAACACCAGAACGAATGCGATGAGACTAAGGAAGACCTTCCCGGGCTCCATCTTTAATTGTCTCAAAACAGCTAGATCCAGGACGGTAACAACATTCAAACAAAATCTTACTTCTGATTCTTTTGACAAACAGTATACAAACAGAGCCGAACTCTGTTAACCTTCCTCCAATGTATGTTCCGGCCGGCTGGCCCTTTAAACCGCCCAACGATACCACCACCAGATGGATACCACGGCTGGACGAGCACCACCAGACGATGGCTCGGGGCCCCCACGGGCCAGCTGTCTCCGAGGCCACGATCGAGGCTTACAAAAGCAGCGGCCAAGCTTCAGCCGCAAAAAGAAAGCCACCAAACCCTCGCGCCTCTTGTAGCAGCAGCCTCTCAGGCTGCTCGAGAGTAAGTCCTCTCCTCCACCTGCAGCTGTGTTTCTCTGCGTCATTCTCACCTAACGTGCTTTATAAGCGAGCGAGACATATAAGCGAGCGAGACATATAAGCGAGCGAGACATATAAGCGAGCGAGACACTAAGTTCTTGGCACGACGCG